GATAATTGGGGATAGATGGTGGGCACAAGAGGCCCTAGAGGACGGGGATAAGATGTGCAAGAAATTTTTATGGAGTTTGTGGCAGAAACGTAAAGAGCTCCCAAATGTTGGTGGTGTCCTTAGTAGGTGTAGGAACGGTGCTCCGTCTCGAAAGGGACGCGTGGTCAATGGTCAAATGACTACGGCAAGCAACAAATGAGTACGCCCCCCCCCCACCCCCAGATGGTCTTGTTAGGGCATCTATCTACGAAACCCTTCTTTTTTTCTTCGCTGTTTTGCGTCCTCCCTCACATGCTGTAGTTGGTAAGCACGTGGGACCTTGGCATGGCATTGGTGACTCTCTTTGGCATTACCAACCTCGTCGTCTTGCCGTTGTTTCTCCCTCTTGTAGAAAGCACTTCTATGTTTATACTCAAGGAAAGAAAACACGGTAAGACCCGCATCCGATATGTACGATGCATGATTTGCTCATCGTCCGATCTCTTCCTGTGTTCCTTGCTTGAACGATTCAAATGCGCGCGTTCAGGGTCTGGTGGCCATGGACAACGACGACATCACCGTCATCGTCATCATGAACGGCGTCAACACCATCAAGGGCACCGAGGAACACTCGATGCAGAAGTTCATCGCCGCCAAGAAGCGGCAGCGAGCCCTCAAGGACGGCGACGCGCAGGGCAACGGTCCCCAGCAGCGACGCCGGATTTCCTAGCCTAACATCTTGTCTGCGTGTGTCAGTTCTTTACCGGTGTTTTGTACGGATATTCTTTACTTGTCTGGTGGAGGGATTATTTTTGTCACAGCCTGGTTTTGGTAAGACAGGGTAGTGGTGGGCTTGGGGCCGATTTGTCCGCTGTGCGATGTAGGGCCCACTCCCGCTTTTGTGATGATGGTGTAAGTAAGAGAAGAGGGAGGATGCGTCTGAGGCAGCGAGTGGGGGAGAGGATTTTTTTTTTCCTGCGCGACGGGGTGTAGCGTTGTTGTTGTTGTTGTTGTTGCTGTCTTCATGTTGAGAGACGTCTCGACCTCTGCTCAGTACCTTCACCATGAAGTGTCCGTACTAAAACAGTCCAACTGACGCGGACGCTTTCCGTGGTCATTGGGCATAACTGCAGTACCCAACACAGGGTAAGTACCTACAATGGATGTGAGTCTTTGGGGGGCTTCTGGGGGCAGGGGGGAGGGGGGGGGGTCGCTGAAAGGCTTGACAAATGCAAGGGGCCCTCCATGTGGAAACCGTGGAACACCCCAGCCCCCCGGGCCAAGATTCCAGCGCAATGTAGGGGGGACGCTTGCAGCAGTCTATTGTATAGGATTTAGTGTGTCCATAGTAAAACCAATATACTCTTCATTGAAACGACTTTCGTGCCGCATTCTAAAGCCCATAAAATTCTCTTCATTTGTAGGCTTCGTGTCGTCATACTAATTCCTACACCATGCACTAGACCTCGCGACCAAGGTTGACGCGTATTCTTGGGGTGTTTCCATAATTTCCACTAGCTCTCTGTGTGGGATCCCGCGCGCGCGCGCTGAAAGAAGCGCCCGAAAATGTCGGAACCCCGGGGATTTTGTCAAAATGTCCCCATCCGGAGATATATAAGGCCCATCCCCCCCCCTCGACCAAGATTGCAGCGTAGCCCAGGGGTGTTCCGACGTTTCCAGATGGAGGGCCCCTTGACAAATAAATGCGGGTACGGCTGCTGCTGCTGCTTCTGGCATCTGTCCACGCCCACAGTGGTTTGCGAATGTCGCGGTCTTACCATTACCGTGTGTTGCATGAGTTATCACAACAGCTGAACCAGTATTATTATGCTCCACGACGCAGAAGGTTAAGGTTCCAAACTTGAAGGATGCGTTTTAGGCAAGATCTCGACCCGACCGTTCCGTTCCGATGCCGCCATTTTCGGAGCCGTCACTGCTGTTTTAGGTGCAGATTACTGTAGTCGTGCTTTAAAAATAGGTTCCGGGGGTGGTAACTTGTAATCTACGATGATAGCTCCTAGGCTCGCCTTGCTGCGCAGGGGGGATTTCCTGGTTTGTTGTCGTTTTATCTGTTGCCGTTCGTTCGCCGTGCCTGAGGGTGAACACTTGATTTCGATGTATTTTTTCCTTTTTTCGAGAATTACATACAGAGTAGGTGTGAGTAAAATAGTGATATCTACACTGTACTGCACGCTGTCGTCGTACAAGAAGCCCGTAGGACGGATCGTAAGTTGTAGGTAAATGGGAGCGGGCATGACCGGACGCTTACAGGTGGTGGTTGCATACGGATCGTAACTTGTAGGTAAATGGGAGCGGGCATGACCGGACGCTTACAGGTGGTGGTTGCATAGGTAGAATACAACAGTAGTTACTCTGGTCTACATAGTAGGTGGACCGATTATTATCCCGGATTATGTTGTGCTAACAACATAAAAAAAAAACAATCTGTATAGCAGTACGGGCCGAGTTTGGGAGTTTGCTGCTGGCGATGCAGCAGAACAACGGCTACGGCCTACAGCAGTACACTGCCTATTTCCCCGCCCCCCCGCAAGTAATCTGGTTGGGATGAACAGCAGTCCATCGCTAAGTTTTTGGGGGGACTAGAAGACTATTAATAACTACTACCCTAACTGATATTGCGCTCCACCAAACACAACATCGCCGCTGACTGTCACGTTGAATACAACAAGAGGAGTGCGTCATTTGGGCAGAGGAGTGCGTCATTTGGGCAGCTGGTTACTGGCCTGCAGTGCAGCCGAGCTGGTCGGTTGAGGGTTGAGGGGCGGCACTAAAGAGTAAAAAAAAGAGGCCTCCTGACCTCCTGATTCGCCCAGCTGTCTGGTTCGTGAAACGCGTTGAATAGAGCCGCCGAACCGAAAAATTGGAAAGCGCCAAGCGCCACGACGTTATGGAGAAGTAGGGACACTGGCACGGAGAGCGAGAAGGCATGGGAGCGCAGGGGGCGGGAGAGAGCGACAAAGAAGGGAAGGTAGAGGAAGAGGAGGGCCAACAATCAACGCCCCTTAGGCGTATCTTCCCTCTGGATCTCTTCCTTCCGTAATCAACGACTGCGCGGCAAACACCCCCTCTTTTCCTCTTCTCTTCAAATTTGCTGTGGTGGAGAGCGGGAGAAAGGCAGGGCCACGACACCAAAGGCATCAACAGCATGGTGACCACCAACATCAGCAGCAGGGCGCCCATGAGCAGAGAAAGGCTCACGGGCTCGGGCACCGGTGCCATTGGCGGCGAGGTTTCGGGCTGGAAGAAAGGCTCCATCGTTAGCCTCAAGATGAAAAACTTTCTCGTGTACAAGGACGCCAAGGCCGTGTTTGGGCCACGCCTGAACATGGTCGTGGGGCCGAACGGCTCGGGAAAGTCTACGCTCGTGTGCGCCATTGCGCTCGGCCTGGGCGGTTCCCTCAAGGTGAGAGCATTCATTGCACAGGAGCAGTCTCAGCAGCGGGTTGTTGTTCATCATTCATGTGTCGGGGCTACAGCAGCCGTAGTAGTCGTCGTCATGCTGCGGCGCATGCATGGTGCAGGCGCGGGATCTTCCTGCCTGGTGGGGGGCCCGCATCGAAGCCACACGGCTCCAACTACGACTTTGAAGAAAATTTTCTGGGAAGTTGGCGCTGAATTGACGGTGATATATGCACGTGTCTACAGCCGCAGTGTGCTCATTGTTTTTCATTTTCCAAACTCGCACACACGGCCTGCAACCTGCAACAGAACTGCAGACAGATGTGGCAGACCGCTTGTGGACACAGAGGCAATTTTTTTCTCGGTCTTGCTTGGCTTTTTTGGAAGTAGAAATGTTGTACCGCGCTGCTACGCCCAAACTACATAGACTACAATGCTGACGTACCTCCGGAGTTCGTTTAACTTTCCAACTTTGGCGATCTGCTTCTCCAAGGGCGCAAACATACGGAACACAACCGATATGCATCGTTGTGTGTGTATGGAAGAAAGAAAAGGTGCGGTGCGCGTACGCGGGTAAAAAAAAGGAAAACACCCGTCTCCGTCATGCGAGGTCAATGAATGGTCTCACAAGTACGGCATGCACGACTATGAGTAACACCGCCCCCCCCTCTCTGTCAGAACTCATAGCTCAAAACCGCGTTGTTGTTGACGGTCCCACGAAACACGGCGCCTCACAACCCCGGCATACGTAGAGAGCAGGGTTTTCTATTCTTGCTTGCGATGGCTTGGACAAGCGGTGTAGATTTATTGCCCAAACAGCAGTGCATGTTGCACCCCATCCTCCCTGAATGTTTCTGTCATCTTGCCCGCTACACTCGGCTATTACCTTCGATACGTAGACATATCATTGGATGGGGAATCGGTGGAATATCGGGCGGGTTATTTGTGTTAGGACTGTGGCGTTATGGTCTATCCCTTGCCTCTCTATTACACTACAAACTACAAGCGTACAAAGAGCCTACAGGTAGGCCGCCCGACCCTTGCGAATTTGCAGATTTTGGAACCGCAACTTGTTGTGTTCCTTGTAGCGTACAACACGCTCGAGTTGTAGACAGCGTGGCCGAGCTGACTCATGGTTCAATCAAAGTGGGATTTATAAGTGCGGAATGAAACGTTATCGACCGCGCCCGCCCGGTTGTCGACCGCCTTGACGCATCTGGGTACCCCTGGCCCCGAGCGTTCCCTCCAACGGCTCATGACCGTTTGAAGAGTGGCTCTGTCTCAGCACACTTGCCGTGATACGTGGTGAACACCACCACGCCAGGTCCGATGGTAGTCAACACCCGAATGAGACCACGGTGCTCAAATTGTCTGCAACTCACCACCTGATTAGCCAACAATTAACGCCCGGTTCTCGAGCACCGTGGCCACATCAGGATGCTCTGGACCTAGCACCTTCTCTGTTATGGCCTGTGACCGCTCGTAGAGTGGCTCAGCCTCTTCGTACTTGCCCTGGCTTTCAGTCTTACTGCATGCCAGGGCAAGTACATTGAGGCCGAGCCACTGTACGAGCGGTCACAGGCCATACAAGAGAAGGTGCTAGATCCGGAGCACCATGATGTGACCACGGTATTTGAATTGTCTGCAACTCACCACCTGATTAGCCAACAACAACGCTTGTTCTTGAGCACCGTGGCGACATCAGGATGCTCTGGACCTAGCACCTTCTCTGGTGTGGCCTGTGACCGCTCGTAGAGTGGCTCAGCCTCTTCGTACTTGCCCTGTCGTTCAGTCTTACTGCATCCCATGGCAAGTACATTGAGGTCGAGCCACTGTACGAGCGGTCACAGGCCATACAAGAGAAGGTGCTAGATCCGGAGCACCCTGATGTGACCACGGTGCTCAACTTGTCTGCAACTCACCACCTGATTAGCCAACAATTAACGCCCGGTTGTTCGAGCACCGTGGCCACATCAGGATGCTCTGGACCTAGCACCTTCTCTGGTGTGGCCTGTGACCGATCATACAGTGGCTCAGCCTCAGCATACTTGCCCTGGCTTTCAGTCTCTACTGCATGCCATGGCAAGTACATTGAGGCCGAGCCACTGTCTCGAGCGGTCACAGGCCATAACAGACAAGGTGCTAGGTCCGTAGCACCCTGATGTGACCACGGTATTTGAATTGTCTGCAACTCACCACCTGATTAGGCAGCAACAACGCTTGTTTTTGAGCACCGTGGCCACGTCAGGATGCTCTGGACCTAGCACCTTCTCACGTATGGCCTGTGGTCGCTCGTACAGTGGCTCAGCCTCTTCGTACTTGCCCTGGCGATCAGTCGTACTCAAATTGTCTGCAACTCACCACCTGATTAGCCAACAATAACGCTTGTTCTTGAGCACCGTGGCCACGTCAGGATGCTCTGGACCTAGCACCTTCTCTGGTGTGGCCTGTGACCGATCGTACAGTGGCTCAGCCTCTTCATACTTGCCCTGGCTTTCAGTCGTACTGCATGCCATGGCAAGTACATTGAGGCCGAGCCACTGTACGAGCGGTCACAGGCCATACAAGAGAAGGTGCTAGATCCGGAGCACCATGATGTGACCACGGTGCTCAAATTGTCTGCAACTCACCACCTGATTAGCCAACAATTAACGCCCGGGTCTTGAGCACCGTGGCCACATCAGGATGCTACGGACCTAGCCCCTTCTCTGTTATGGCCTGTGACCGCTCGTAGAGTGGCTCAGCCTCTTCGTACTTGCCCTGGCGTTTGTCGTACTGCATGCCAGGGCAATTACATTGAGGCCGAACAGCTGTTCGAGCGGTCACAGGCCATACAAGACAAGGTGCTAGGTCCGGAGCACCCTGATGTGACCACGGTGCTCGAATTGTCTGCAACTCACCACCTGATTAGGCAGCAACAACGCCCGGATCTCGAGCACCGTGGCGACATCAGGATGCTCTGGACCTAGCACCTTCTCTGGCATGGCCTGTGATCGCTCATAGAGTGGCTCAGCCTCTTCGTACTTGCCCTGGCGATCAGTCCTACTGCATGCCAGGGCAAGTACATTGAGGTCGAGCCACTGCTCGAGCGGTCACAGGGCAAAACAGACAAGGTGCTAGGTCCGTAGCACCCTGATGTGACCACGGTGCTCGAATTGTCTGCAACTCACCACCTGATTAGCCAACAATAACGCCTGTTCTTGAGCACCCGGACTACACCGGGGTTCTTGGGAACTAGCCCCTTCTCTCGTATGGCCTGTGACCGCTCGTACAGCGGCTCAGCCTCAGCATAGTTGCCCTGGCGTTCAGTGTTACTGCATGCCAGGGCAAGTACATTGAGGTCGAGCCACTGCTCGAGCGGTCGCAGCCCTACAAGAGAAGGTGCTAGGTCCGGAGCACCATGATGTGACCACGGTGCTCAAATTGTCTGCAACTCACCACCTGATTAGCCAACAATAACGCTTGTTCTTGAGCACCCGGACTACACCGGGGTTCTTCGGAACTAGCCCCTTCTCTCGTATGGCCTGTGACCGCTCGTACAGTGGCTCAGCCTCAGCATAGTTGCCCTGGCTTTCAGTCGTACTGCATGCCAGGGCAAGTACTTTGAGGCCGAGCCACTGCTCGAGCGGTCGCAGCCCTACAAGAGAAGGTGCTAGGTCCGGAGCATCCTGATGTGGCCACGGTGCTCAACAACCGGACGTTGATGTTGTGGCTTATCAGGTGAGTTGTAGACAATCTTCCTCCGCAATTAGTTCTAGATCTCGTTTTGACTGCAATCCTACCCGGTGTGGCGCTGTTTTCCATATACTTCTATCATGGCAAGTGTGCTGAGACAGAGCCACTGTTCAAACGGTCATGAGCCATGGGAGGGAAGGTTCGGGGCCTGGAGTACCCAGATGTGTCCAGGCGGTCGACAACCCGGCGGGCGCGGCTGTTAACGTTTTAATCCTCAGTTGTATGTTACACGTCACATGCAAACGTCAGCTTACCGCTGTTGTTGGTCATTGGAGCGTATTGTTCGCACACGTGCAGCAGTACGTGCAATGTCTTTTCCGCGTCTGGCCGTAACGTAAGGTGTAGGGGCGCGCGGACAACCTGAGCGCGTTTGTGATGTACGGCGTCAAAAGGGAAGACGCCTCAGTGATGGTGGAGCTCTACATGCCGGATGGGAACAACCTCCACGTCACCAGGACGTGCTCGAGAAAGAACAACTCGTCCAACTGGCACATAAATGGCAGGTCGGTACTTCCAGCAACAGGCAACGGCGCGTCTCCTGCCATTTTTTTCTTTCTCCGTGTTTGGTCGATCTTATTTTTTTATGTTTGTTTCCGTCTATGAATAGCCGTGGTTAACCTCGTGAACCTAGTACTTCTATTCGTAAGAGGCCCCCCTCCTAGAAGTGGGTGCCAGCCCTCCCGAGGGTGACTCCAGATGACATATCCGAACGTTTTTCAGAACCTAAGGCGACTATTCTATGGACCGCTCGACAGAGAGGGCACGGGGAGCAACACCAAAGGCACTCGCAATCGTGGTTTGTTGGTACATCTTCCTGCTGAACGATGAATAAACTTACTGTTTGTGTCGTACTCCGCGTGTATTTTGGAGACAGCTCGGGCGGCCTACAACTCTCCAGCGATTTTCCTCCAAAGAGCTGGTTCATTCAGCGATTTTCTGTTGCTTTTTGGCGTGCCTCATTTCTCTCATGTTGGGGCGGATGTCTTTTACCAGAGCCAATGGAAAAGCACAAGCGGTGGGTAAGCACTTAAGCACGCCTTGCCATAGGTACAACACTTGCTGACGCGGGCCGCGCAGATCGTTTGTTGACTTTTGTGTGGGTGCCATGAGTGGTATGCCCTAATGCCTCTCGCTGTTGATGATTGAGAGCAGACCATCCCCACTGGTGGAAGGAAATCGGCGTGTATAAGAACAGCCCCACCCTGCCTATCGGTACATAGCTGGGATATAGCTGGGATATTTTTTCTTGTTGTCCGTGAAGAATAGTTAATGCAACGCCATTCGTTGTTACCCGTGATTGTGGTTTGATGTCCTTGCTTTCTGGTGCCGAGAAGCTGGCCGCCCATCTTCCGCGCGGGGCCTCCATCCCTACTGGCATCATTTTCGTCTGTGCGGATGTATGATGTGCTTGGATGATGATGCAATACACATGATGCAGGTCCTATTCGGGCAAGGAAGTGGAGAGCAAGATAAGGGCCCTTGGCATTCAGGTCGACAACCTCTGTACCATGCTGCCGCAGGCAAGTGATGCGTGCATGACACAACGTCAAGTGACATCGAAAACACACCGCACAAAAATAGCCCCCTTCATCTCATCAGAGATCGCCGCCTACCCCACTTCCGTCGAGGACAGGGTGACGCTCTTTGCGTTCTATACACATGAGTACCATGCTTGTCGACTTCGCACCAGCCTAGGGACCGTAGAGACTCTATTCCTATGAACGTCACCTCAAACTTTGGGCAGGCGGCCTTGACGAACCACCGCCCTATTTAGCTCGCATTCCCACCCACGCATGACGCTCTTAGGGGCGAGCTTGAGGGCGCTCCTGGCCTGCCTGGTGCCGAAAAGTCCTGGCAAGAAACAGGTCACCTGCGTTGTTGCCGCACGCAGGCCAAAGAGAAGGAGACGAGGGAAGGGGTCCTGGGCATGACATGATTTTTTTCGATACGACGGTGGGGAATGTTCGTTGGACAGGCAAGCTAGCCCCAGTAACAGAGCCTCTGCTGCAAGTTGCAACATCGAACCATCGAACACGCCAGCAGCGGCAAGCCCACTACTATTTGTCGAGTGGCACCATCATGCCCGCTTTCCGATCATCTTCTCCATACGAGAATTTCAAACAAAGCCATCACACAGAGCACGCAATGGCTGCACGTAAGACGAGCAGCGATGCACCGCTATACCGCAGGTAACAGACGTAGGACACCACACCCCTGGACCGATTTTCAAGCCTCGACTTCTCCATAGCAGAAAGAGACTTCTCCACAGCAGAAAGAGACTTCTCCACAGCAGAAAGAGACTTCTCCACAGCAGAAAGAGTGGCGGTGGGACCGTCTCGTGGACACCTTTCCGAAAACGTATTGTTTGATTTTGGCATCCTCTTCGTCGTGGAGAAACCGAGCTTTGAAAATCGGTCCTGGGGGTGTGGTATGTTGTGTCACCCACGGTATACGCGCTGCGGGCCGAGACAGGCGCGCAACAAGACTATCATTGACAACATGTCCATGTGTCTGCTCGTGCTCCACCGAGAAAAAAGGCACAAAGAAGCATCCACCTGAAAGGTTCTCCCCAGACTGATGTCGTCGCCTAGGATGCCGCCCATGTCCCCCTGGCGTTCGACGGCACGAAAAACTCAGACAATTGGTGGCGTTGTAACTGTGTGCTTCGATCGGGGGGGGCGGGCTAGCAATAGATACATGGTTAAACATGAACGACCGGTCAAGGAATTACAGCAAAGGCTCACCTTGTAGCGCGCTGCTCCTGCAGCCTTCTGGGTCGTAGGTCTGCCAAAACCGGGGGCCTGTTGGAGCACATTAGAGCTCATGCCAGTCATCGTTTGAAAAAAGAAAACTTTCCCGGTGCAGACTTACTCCACAACCACCGCACCCCGATCCTCTGGTGGGCGTACATCCGGTTGTACAGCTCCGGCGGCACCGAAAACGCCTCCTTCTTTTTCCTGGGGGTCAGCTCGTCGTTGTCGCTTCTCGCTCCTCCGCCCTCGTTGCCGCCGCCGCCGCCCGAGGCCTCCATCTTCCAGGCCTTCCCGCCTGCTTCCCGCCGCCACTCGCCAGCGACGCCGACCACCAAGTCTCCGCACCGCCCACCGTCGCCTTCCTGCCGCGGGGCCCCCGAACGAAGAGCTTATAGTGCCTTCACCTGCTCCCGCCGTGTGGACACCCTTACTGCTGCGTTTGGTTGAAGCAGCCATCGAGGAATCATCCTTGTTCGTCATGCTCGCTGCTGCTGTATAACCCCCGACCAAAAGCGTTTGACGGTTGGCGTGCCTCCGCTCCTCTCGCGAGGCGACCGCCGTTCCCGAGAGACCGAAGCGGCCGCCACCGCCGCCGCCACCGCTACCACTGCCGCAGATCGACGGCGGCTTCTTCGGCCCCGTGCCTGACCACCCCCGGTCGTGGGCACCCCCGTTCCTACCGACAGGGATAGCACAGCCCGCTTCTTTCACCTCTAGGCAGTCCACAATATCGTCGTCGTCGTCATCGCTACAGACAACGAAGCTCTCCGAAGCCTGGCCTTTGCGATTCGCGGGAGCGGCAGTCGGGCTTTTCGGGGGGCAATTCCTCCTTGGAAAGCCGGGATGTTGGCGGGGGCGGCGGAGACGACATCAACAGGTCCAAGACATGGCTCGTGTCGACGGGACTCGCTGCTGATGATCCCCCCGACCGAGTCATGAGCGTTGCTGCTGCTGTTGCCGCCGCCAAGACAAGAGCGGAAGGAGGAGGACTCCGCGCCCTTGTCGACACCGGAAGTGGCGGCAGATGGTCGCTGCGGCGACGGCGAGTACGCGTAAAAAACGCCTCCGCTGCCGCAGTCATGACCGTAGTCGTCGTCGTTCCCCCGCCGCCGTCGTAGTCCCATGCCTCGGGAAAACCTTCCGACCCGGCTCCTATAGGATCTGTAAAGCGTCCTCCTCCGGCTCTTGATGATGCCGACAGCGAGCGTCGTCGTCTGGGTTTCTGGAGCCCGTGAGATGCAATGCTCGGGGTACTCGACGTCCTTCGTTTTGACGTTCTCTAACGTTAACATTGCAACAAGCAGCTGACGCTCGACAGGGTCAGTGGACAAGGCCCTATCTTAATCTTCCGTCACCGTCCGTGCGTCCGTTACCACGGAGTGAATGTGTTGTGAATTGTGGCTCCCGCCGCCGTCCCCGCGTGTCTTATTGTGGCCAGCAACAAGGTCCGCGCCGTATTGGCCAGACAGCAGTTACGCATTCGTCCTGACAAACGGTCATGGGACCCTCAGTAGCGGTGCCAGAGATGCTGTTGCCGTAGGTTGTGATTGTCCAGGTACATACGTCATACGTCGAAACGTAAGGAGTACATTTGGTAAGGATTGTCGGCACAGGGGTTTGACCAACTGGACCAAACGACATATCCGGGGCCCCACCAAGACTACCGTGATTCACCCCCTCGCAGCCGCATGGTCGCCGCCGGTGGCGCAGCTGGAGTACCACCTGGAGCAACTGGGCTGTCGCCTCCTGTCACGTCAACTGATGGACCTATCCGCCGAAGCCTCTCAACCGGGGACTTTGCAGCCTCTTTCTGCGGCTCGCTCCCCCTTTTGTATCTCCACGCGCAAAGCATCCTCCCACGTAATGATATAGGGTAGCTCTCTACCTGCAGTCCATCCCCTTGAAGCGCAAGCGCCCAGCTACATACCGTGCTGTCCCCGCCCCCGATGGCTACGGTCCCAGTTTGAGTGAAAAGCCCGCAAGAATGGCGTACGTCGCCTCTCTTTGGCCCGACTCACACGGCTCAGACGCCAATACCCCGTTGCCTACACCAGGGTGCAGCAGCTTCGTCAGAGGCCGAAAGAGAAGGAAGGTTGACTCAAGTATTTTTCTCAGAGAATGACAGACATGAGGGAAGCAGGGAAACCCTCGCTCGTCATGTCCATCATATCATACCCATATTGTCCACGTCACCCTCCGGACCCGTAGATCAGCAAGTAGTTTGCCGAGTACACCCTAATTTATCGGATAAGAGAGGGACAGGCGGACAGAGACACTCACAACAGTACAATGGAGGGCATAGTCAGCGAGATGTGCTCCATGTCCGTATGCACGTGTCGTAACAGTATCAGTAGTCCTGGACATAACAACCAATTTACCATATTAGATTTATATAACATATTAGATTTATATACCATATTAGATTTATATACCATATTAGATTTATATACCATATTAGATTTATATACCATATTAGATTTATATACCATATTAGATTTATATACCATATTAGATTTATATACCATATTAGATTTATATACCTTAGATTTATATACCATATTAGATTTACAACTCGTTTCAAGGCGATTGCGAACTCATTTCTCAAGTAGACGATGCGTTATTGTTAACTTACGAAGTCGACGTCGTGCCACGTTCCTCATTCCGAATAGCTTTTCCTTGGTTGTGTTGTGTACTTTTTACAGGACAAGATCGGCGACTTCTCGGGCTTTACGCCAGATAGCTGCTGCTGGAAACGGAGAAGGCCTTGTCCATCACCGAGCTGTACGACCCGCACATGAAGCTCATCGACCTGCAAGACTCGGTGAGTCAGATATCCTTTGTCTTTGTCTTTGTCTTTGTCTTTGTCTTTGTCTTTGTCTTTGTCTTTGTCTTTGTCTTTGTCCTTGTCTTTGTCTTTGTCTTTGTCTTTGTCCTTGTCCTTGTCTTTGTCCTTGTCCTTGTCCTTGTTCACTAGGTTTCATCGGTAAGAAGAATGGCTCTGTCGCCTACAGGTGGAGCTGTCTGTGTTCGTCCCCCGTTTGTTCTGGCCCCAGTATACACATCTCTCGGAGTTGACGTTTGGCATATCAGCCGGGGGCACACAGGAGGAAGTTCGCACAAACCTGTTCTTACTGTTATTATTGCCACACCTCTCCTGCTGCGGGATTTGCGCTGTTTTTTTTTCTCGGCAAGGGTTTTTCATTCGAAGTTGTACCTCATTTTTGCATGCCGACCTCAAGCAGCCCCGCGTCAATGGCTGTGTTTTTGTAGCGTTTGTCCTCTTACACGTTGTCAAAATGGACCCACTTCTATCCGTGAACAAGATTCGGAAAGGTTTTTCTGATATTCATCTGCACATCAACAATGTGGCTGTACAGACGGACGTCCTTCTACGTGTTATTTTTCATTATTTTCGTTCATTGCCGATGCCTGCAGAGAGAGAGAGAGAAGACCTCGCACAGAGGCGATATCATCATCTCACCTCGTCATTATCTTTTCCTTGTGCGCTTGTTTTTTATCCTGATATATATATATACGAGTCCGTCTTTTTTTGGTTGGCGAATCTGTGCTGCCAATAAGGTAAGCTTCACGCTATGGACATCAGATTTTGCCCATCCAGTGTCCAAAACTCCCGTCATTTCGGTTGTTTCCCGTCTGTTTGTTTTTGTTGGTTGGCGTCTTTTTCATCCCAAATCCTTTTTGTGTGTGTTCTCAGAAAAGGCAAGACTCAGAACGAGGAGGAGACGAGGACCAAGCTGGATGACATGGAATCGGAGTTGTCCACCCTCGAGAAGGACGTGCAACGCTACCAAGAGCGCCAAGAGAAGCAGGAGAGGGTGAGATACTTTCCTCGTAGTGTCTGCTTGTTTGTTTGTTTTTCGTCGGAGCAACGGTGGGGCTTAGGAGAAGCAAGACACCAAAAATCATGGTAGATCGTTCACGAACATTGCACGTATCACCTTGTTGTTTTGTTTTGCACGTATCTCCTTGTTGTTTTGTCCTTCGAATCGCGCCAAGAGAACCAGGAGAGGGTGAGATACATTCCTCCTAAGTGTTTGCTCCTTTGATTAACTTTTTTTTCGTCGGAGTAACGGTGGGAGTTAGGAAAAGCAAGACACAGCAATTAATGGTGGATCGTTCACGAATATTGAACGTGTTACATTGTTGTTTTGCTGTCCTTCGAAGCGCGACAAGGGAAGCCGCAGGACAGGCTTGACGCAAATCTTTGCTCGTCGACTCTCGGGCTGCTTCGTTGTGTTTTTGTTTTTGGAGTCCGCAGGGTGGAGGCCGTCGTTGCTGGCTTCGCCTCGGCGGATGTAGCCATGCAATAAGCGCTTGTTGTTGTTGTTGTTGTTGTTAATGCTGCTGCTGCTGTTGTTGATGGTATTGTTGCTGTTGTTACTTGCACCCTTTTTCTATGTTGTCTGCCCAGGCTTGAGCTGCACAAAAAGCGGAAGATTTTTTGGAGAACGTGGCGAACCTGAGAAGGCAAGGGCACGCGACTCAGTTGCCCGAGGAAGAGGCCGCCAAGGAGCTCGAGATGGCTGAGGAGGCCGACAAACCTGTGGAGGTGTGGACGACGACTTGGGCCTTCGGTGATTGTCGGCAGTGATGTTGGATTACGTCGTCGAAGTCCAAGGCAGCTTATTTTTTCAGGTGGTTTGGGCTATGCTGCTTTACAACATGCTGACCGCAGTGATGGTGCTGTTCATGAGGTTTGCATATCGCGCCTATTGGTGAGGGTGTTCTTGGCTATTTTCTCCCGAAAGGAACGATTGTTACGAATTATTCTGGAAATGGTGGGAGTAGACTATATTGACGGCAATGATGATGCTGTTGGTGAGGTTTGCATAACGCGCCCATTGGTGAGGGTCTTCATGATATCAATCGATAATGGTTGCGATTGAAATTTCACGTATTGGTGATTTTCCACTTTCAAATCAATGGAGCCAATGGCGTGTTAACCAGCAGGAGAACTGCCGGCATGTAATGTCGTTCTCGCTTTTGCTGTACCTCTATCGTGCTGAAGTATGATGAAGAGGTGCGTGCATGATGGAGCCAATGCCCTCGGTTGCTCTTTTCGCACAAAGAAGGCGGTGCTGAACGCACGGGTACACTCGGGGGGCGAGTGGTCCGTGCCTACCGTCCTCTTCCTCATGGCCCTGCAGGTGAGGCAAGGGAAGGGAAGTTTGCGTGGGACGGGATGGCTCGCGGGTCTGGCCGAACTTCAGCGGAAACTGGTCGTGTTTGTTGGTACGCTGATGGTTGCATGGATCGATTGGGTCGATGGTTCGTTGAAAACATGGTTGTTTTGAAATGGAATGGGTTCGTTTGGTCTTGATTGTTCTGGCCGTGCTTTTGGGCAAGTGGCATCACTACACGGCTGTTCCGTTTGGTTTTGGGGGCTTGGTTCGAGCCAGTGTACTGTTTGTCACGCTGCCACTATGTGCTGCGAAAGCAGGGCACGAAGTACTTCAAGCAGGGTACGAACACGGTGTCGGACATGTACATGTATATATTCATGGAACGATACTACCCACATGCGATATGTACGGCGCATGCATAAAATGATTTTTTGTTTGGTTGGTGCAATGACGGTGTGATGTAAACGCGCGGTCAGGGTCTGGTGGCCATGGACAACGACGACATGAAGATCGCCGTCCTCATGAACGGCCCCAACAACACCATCAAGGGCACCGAGGAGCACTCCATGAAGAACTTCATCGCCGCCAAGAAGCGGCAGCGAGCCCTGAGGAACCTCGACGCGCAGGGGAACGGTCCCCAGCAGCGACGCCGGATTTCCTAGCCGAACCCCTTGTCTGCGTGCTTCAGTTCCTTACCGGGGGACGGATATTCTTTACTTGTCTGTTGGGGGGGGCTTTTTGTCGTCATGGCCTGGTTTTGTTTGGTGATTCTGCAGCACATCACCAGTTGCGTTTGTTGCATTGTGGGGTTGGTGTTCCGTTGTCGTAGTCTTGGCGCCGATTTTGTCCGCGGTGTGGATTAGGGCTGCTTGGTTTATGGTGTTAGTAAGAGAGAAGGGCGAGCGTGGTGTGGCGAAGGCGGCGATCGGGTCGAGTGGGAGGGGTGTTATTTTCCTGCGCGGTTGAAGCGTGGTTTTTGTTGTTGGGTTCGTATTGGAAAGCCGTTTCGATCTCCGCCCAGTGCCTTCAAGCATCCGTACTGGTCCAACTGACCCGGACGCCTTCCGTGACCAAAAGGCTACAGGTACCCGAAAAAAAAAAAAACAGTACAAGTACAATTTCAACTACAACTACAAATCAGAGAGAAGAGTAAAGACGGACGCACCCGGTAATAACCCGAAATATTATTGTATGCGTGAACAAATGGAACGAGTCCCCAAAGCGTATTGTACAGGTGCATATTGCCATGGATGAAGGGGGGGGTATGGGAACCCGAAAGATTATTGTATGCGTGAACAAATGGAACGAATCCCCAAAGCGTATTGTACAGGTCCATATTGCCATGGATGTAGGGGGGGTATGGGAGCAGCAATATCGCAACTCCTACATGCACGCATGGGATCGAGTACTTTGTATTGGAGCCTTTGGGAGCCGAGGGGGGTGTCGTTGTTGTTTTGTTGTTTGAAGGGGTTCCTGGCGGCTGTTGTGGCCGATCGTTTGATCGTAGCAATACTAACACTTCGTACTCTGTATCCACAGGGATCTGATTCCTACATAGTCTGCGGAGTAGTCGACTAGTCTTAATAGTTGGTTGCCTAGCTGCTCTGGAGGATTTTCGGTGTGTGTTGTATTTAATGTTCGTTCGGCCCCCCCACCCAGTGATTGTTGCATGAACGATTCGTTTTGTGTAGTTAATTTTAAGTCGAGAGACGTGAGTAGTGATATACAGCCCCGTGTGCATCGCCCTGTTTCTTGTAATTCCTGTCCGTTGTCGTGAAGCCGTAGGTAACAAGAGTAGGCAAATGATAGCCGGTCGACCCTTCTTTTTATAGACTACTACAGCAGGTGTGTTTTATCGTGGGTGAAATGATGATCGCGCATGTTTTAAGGAATAGGGTGACAGTAGAATAGAGAGTACTCGGCGAAGAAGGGCGAGTGCTGCTGATTGCAGAGCAAAGCAGACGTATCACACGGCCACTGCCTACGGCCAGAGAGGTAGTAGTACAAATTTGTACTAAGAGTACGAAGTGCTTGATGGATATAAGATTGATATCCTGGAGCTTTTACAATGTACCCGTCAGGTTTTATCTCATCCCGCCCCCACTTCGTAGAGCAGGATGATGAGCAGCCCAGCCCTAGCGGTGGATGAATGTCAAATTTGCTCCGCACCAAAGACGATTGATTCGATAGCTGCTACTGCTGCGGTAGCGTTATGTATAGCAAGAGGAGTAGCACGTCGTTTGCTGAGACGCCGAGACCCGAGACGGTAAACGAGAGGCCCCCTGCACAGCGGTTCTTGGCAGGTACCCACATTTATTTACAATTTTGTGCCCAATTTTGTGCCCCCGCCGTGGGTTCTCGTCTGCTCGGCGGCGGCTGTTCGGTCGCATTGTGCCGCCTTCCTCTCCCATCCCGTCATCCCGTCACCTCAACACTCTCCGACGACCACACGGCAGCGAACACCACAACCTCTGTCCATGGCTAGCGGGTACCCAAATAGTCCTCCAGCAGGGCTCGCTAGGCAGTCCTCAGACCTAGATGTGAGACGAAACTTCAGCAGTAATCCGAGGAACACAGGTTACCTTCGTTCCGGCAACCCGACAAGTACTCGTCCGGTACATTTGTACAGTAGTCTGCTGCTCTACACGCTGTACATGGGCAAACTGTGCGAAAGCAAGTTGTGTGTTGATTCGCCGCCCAGCAGTGTCTCCGTTCATTGGTTGTTTATTTTTATCCTCCTAGACAACGCCAGTACGCAGGCAGCTGTACATATTTGTACAGGAAACCTCTTCGTTTGTTTGCGTACCGACAACGCTCGAACCGGTGTTGTAATTTGCTCCCAAAAGGCAAGGAAGGTTGATGTTGGTGTGCCTGCCGCCACCGTGCAGCAGGTACCCATGGCGGCTATATGTCACGGCAAATCCCGTAAGGTGGCCACTGCTGTACGCTGCTGCTGCAACCAGTTGGATGTTGCATTGGCTTGCTTGGTTTCTGGCTGGCTCCCAGCAAGTATGGCGGACGAAGAGCCAGACGCGAGTTTGCTTGGTTTCTCCAACCCTGCTTGGTGCTGGGGGGTCACTTAGGCCGGTGAATCTTTGTGCTGTTGTTGTATCGCCCGTAGCCGGCTTGTCGGCCCTTATTACGACGGTTGGGGTGGGGGACCCGCGGACTGCCGACGGCAGGAGATCGAGCGCGAGAACGCAGCGCAAACGAGATAGGCTTGTTGGACCCAGCCGTGAGCACGTGCAGTGCGAACAAGGGAGGAAGGGCCGGACATGAGAGAGCGCACACCGAGTGAGCGCAGACGAACCCACGGGCCCAACATTGCCCCAGCTTACGGCAGAGTGTTTATGCGAAACTTCGGCGTGTGTGCGTAGCATTTGGCGTACAGTACACGCCTCTCCTGCCGCGATGCCCGGGCGACTGCTTACGTTTCAGACCTCTCGTGTTTCGTGCCGACAACGCTTGTGTTGCGCAGGATGAGGTGAGCTTGTATAGCAACGCGAGAGAACGAAGGCAGTGGGACAAGCTGTCGGAATTCTTCGCCATCCTCAAGACCACGGAGCACCTGGAGAACGCGCGCATCAAGAGCGCCATCGGGCGTGACGAGGTAAGACCGTAGTGACTGCCACCTTGACGACGGAGTGCGATCAGTCGGCGCATGTTGATTGGTTCATTCGTTTGTTTCTGGTGTGGCCGCCGTTGTTGCTGGTGCTCTCTTTCGACGATAGAGCGAAGTGCGACACCGGTTGTCTAAAGTATGCCGCAGACATCGACTCACGCGGCTAGTCCCGACAAAGATATTCGACGATATTAGCAGCAAACGCAAAGGACAACCTTGGCGCTTCGTTGAACCAAGTATTTTTTAGCAACCGAAATCAAACGATGAAACTACTAGAATGGTCAAACGGATTGATTTCGGTTGCTGAAGTAGTGCGGCTTACGTTTGTTTGGCTCGTGCCCAGAAATCCAGTTGCACCGGTATTTTTTAGCAGAGCAGACGCTATCCCCACCTTGACGGCTACCCACCCTCCGCCTCCGCCAAATCGAAGAAGCGGCTGCTCTCTCAGACGACGTGTGTCTTACTTGACTCTCTTTTCCTTGGCCACCACCACCGCCGCCCGCTGTCTCTCGTGCGGCGGCGTCCGTTTCGCCGTTACCTCCTCCTCTGTGGCTGGCAGTACACCCGGGAATGCTCCGCCCTCATCTCGCAGTACAAGGACGCAGAGAGCGCCTTGCTCGCGGACGGGAGCATCACCAGCACAGTGTGAGCGCGCGCCGCTTTGAGGGACTTGTCTGCGTTGAATTTTGGTTCGAGTTGGAGCGCGATGCTGACAATCTTTGGGGGCACGGGTATGGGCTTGCTTGTGAAAACCGTTCTCGCGGTTCATTACGTCTCCCTAGCGTTTTCTCCTTCATACATACCCGGTACATGCGTTTTGCGAGTTCTTGCTCGTTTAGGGGTGTGGCTTGTTTCTCGGTAAAAGGGATTCTACAAGGTTATGTCGGTACTGTAACGGGCGAGGTTGATGACGGCGAGTTGATGCGCCCACGACCGTCGAAAGTTCGTTTGAGCGGACAGGACAAATGAGCATCGTCTTTGACCAAGAAAGAAAGCATGACCTGTCCTGCGCTCCCTAGTCACCCTCTTTCTCTCCCCTTTGCCCCCTTGCGTCGTGTGCCCTTTCATCTCATCTCGCTCGCGGCAGCGATTTTATCAAGGAGTACCAGCTAGATTGCCCTTACGCGATGGACCGGCTAGTCAAGTACGGCGTTCCCGCCACGGTCCTGCACCGACAAGTGGACGAGAGGGATCAGATCGGCAGGGCGCGCCAGGCGGCCGAGACGGTGAGCCTTCCGAAGCTATACAAGTACAAGACCTTTTCTTCTTTTTTTCTTGTTGTACAAATAGAAAGCCGGTTGTTGTACATAGGTAAAGAGTACCCCCGTCCCCCCTTCCAGTTAGACGAAAGTCATCATGCCCACCCTTAGTAGCTCTACCGCCGTCGAAGAGCGCACCTGCTACCACAAGCAGAAAGAGCGCGGGGGAACAACCGAAGAATTGGTCTGAGGTGTTCCCCCGCACCGGATGGTACAACAGGGTAGCAGGGTAGCCGCGAATCTCTGATTGGCACGCCTGTCTTGTTTGGTCCGTTGTTTTCCGATTGCAAGAAGAGTTTTTCGGCCATGCGTCGGTATTTTTTTCGTTTCGGGGCTTGACGAAGCAGAACCGTAGCTCGCACGATTCACCCCTTCGGGAATTGGCACTGACGGTTAAACAAATGCTGCTCTTTTTTCGCTGACAGTCCTCCCAAAAATCCCGACTTCCTGGCCCCCCTCCCTTCACGTCGCGCGTATGCTTGTGTTTCCAGACCCAATGTTTCATCACCGCAATGGACGCCTTGAAGCTGGAGCAGAGGGCTGTCGATGAGGTGCAGCCGCTCATCTACGACCTCTCGGACCGGTTGAATAAGGTGCGTCATCTGCAGCAGCAGCGTTCATATTGTTCGACGGGGTGGAGAGGAAGGGGTCAGAGTTTGCCATCACACCCGAGCCCCAAGCTCCATCGGTAGCCTTAGCTCTATCCCTTCCCCATCCTTAAGACCCTCGTCCTATCTCTTTGTCTCTACTCCACTGTCCTGGCACGCCCGAATTCAATGTTTGACACCAACTCCTTTCCTTCTTGACCTGACATTTTGATCCTGCATAACCGAAAACGTCGCAGCCACTCCCAAATAGACCCACGACCACGCGTTTTCTGCAAGCCCTAAATTCACTCGTCTTGTCCGCTCCTCAGACACACGCCCGCGTGTTGTGCCATGCAACTTTTTAACACTCTACATATCACGGGAATCGACCCCGTCACGTGTTCGACTAGTACGGACAGAAGAAGGTGCTGGGTAGAGATAACGGAACGGTTTTTAATGTGAAGACAACAACAGCATTAACAACAACAACAACATACCCCGGTGTTGTGGTTCCAAGGTGGACGGGCTTCCGAATGACTACGAGGGGACACAGAAGACGCGGGAGTGGCTGGTGACTCTGAACGCCATGCGGGCGGCCGACGAGCTTTCGGAGGACCAGGCGCGGCAGCTCTTGCACGACCTCGACACGTCCTACAGCGCCTTCTTCCGGTACTTGGAGATGACACAAAAGCCGTGACGACCATCCTATAGTACTATGACGCACCACTGCACACAGTGGAGGGATGATATCGAAATGAATACGAGAGAGGTTGGCCTGTTGGAAATATGATGCCCCCCGTGTGACATGCTTGCGTGAGATGGCGGGGCACTGGGATACGGAGCATCTCATAATGACACTCGTGGCAGAGAGGCAGGAGGCCGTCGCGAAGTGAGCCGTGTGGCCGTGTTGTACTGTGAACACCTAGTCGGGAGGCGGTGGGTGGGCTTCACGCAGCTTTCTGTGCCCAACGGACGAACGCTAATAAACGGTTGGATCCCTACGTGGCAAATTGGATGTGTTGTACAAAGCGTTCCCAGAAAACGGAAGTTAGCGTTCGTTGCCTAGGCGTTCCACGCTCGTCGGCATTCATAGGACCTTTCGAGATGAAGGTTTGGTTGGTTGCAACGGGAGGTTTCGACGGGCGACTTTTGAATGTTGTGGTGCTGAGTGTTTTTGTTCGGGGGGGAGGAGGGGGAGGGAAGCCTGTCGTAGAATCCTCTTTGCGGCAAGGATATGCCGCAATGATTATAACCTGTGGTAGGCATGTGCAGAGTGGAGTTGTTGTAGAGATACCCGTAAGGCCGTAGATATACATGGGACATTTTTTGTACTGAAAAATGAAACGTCAAGAAGTATTTTTAACCTGTTCGAGCTGCCGGTTACGCACCTGCTGAGCAGTGTCTGCTTCCTATCCCCCACTAGTGCTGAACGAGGGGAAACGCAATTTCCCTCGATTTTCACGATGCAGGCCGCGTCTGATACTGCTTGGTCTCACCTCCATTTGGAAGGGAAATGATGCAAACTCGCTGAATGCAGGGCGGCCATATATTCCCCTAATTTCGGGCAGACTACGTACGGTATGAAGCACACCAACAAAATTAGATACAAGCCGCCTTCTCTGAAAAGGTGCAGCCCACGCCAAAACGTCTCCGCGTAACCCCAATCCACAAGCCTCACCACAGCAGTCTTCTCAAAACTTCAAAGTACAAACGGTTGTACACGTCAAATGCGTTGGGCGTCATCCTCGTCTTCAATTTCGAACCGTTTCCCCCTCAACCCCAATCCAGGCACTGCTGCTGCAGACATGCGCGCAGATATTTTCACAGGTTGAAGTTCTTTCTCTTCTTTTTGCTGGCGAACGCGAGCGTGTCTTTGGGAGCCGCCTGTCCCCTGCCGCCTGCTTGCAGCCCAATTCCGACACCGAACCCTGCCGAGATTGACCTCCAAGTCGCTAGATCGCCGGACAGGACGAAGGACATGACTCGCCTAGAGAGCTCCGCGGACAACGGTCCGAATTGAGACTGTTGGCAACATGGTTCCGTACGAAGATTGTTTGAAGATGGAAGGGGGGGGGGGGCAGGGGGTGGGAAGAGGATGAGCCACCACAAAAAATCAACCCGCCCGACGGCTGCAAGAATAGCACTTCTTGTGATTGATTGTCTACTCGAAACGACGAGCAACGAAGGGTGAGCGTATGCACACTTTCCACAAAACCAATTCTCCAACTTTCCTCGTGGACGACACAACACACGGAAAGGCCGGTTGAGAAGCACTACCCCGCATCTACCAAGAAGAGGGGCTGCACCCCCCTACCCCTCCCCCCTCCACGGATGCCCCGAGTCTACCAAACGCCGAGCCCTTCACCTGCTTGGCACCCCACCCTGCCGAGTGGAGAACGGCCCTTGCGACTTCTCTTGGTGGAGTCTGGCCCCCGCCGCACACCGTAAAGCTCCTCATGTTCTTCACGAGGAACCGTAGCGTCGGTAGGGGCACGTGCAGCATCGCCTGCTTCGGCAGCGTGGAGCACGCCCCGGCCTTGTCGACGTGGATGAAGGACGAGTCGTCCCAGACCGTGAGAGCCCGCCCGTGTGCCCGGCAGGTGAGGGAGAGCAGCTCCAGGCAGCCGTCGAAGCCTGTGTTGCCCGGGGCGGGCGAGGCCTTCGAGCACACACGGGTGTTGATCACTTCCAACGGCGCGAACGGTCGCAAGTGCTGTAGCACCACCTTGTCCAAAATCAACAGAGATACGGGCGGCGGGTTTTCGTGGCGTGGTTTGGTTAGATATTACCTTGCTGGCAAAAATCGCATTCCCTTACGGCAGGGACCAGAGGAAGAATCGGGGTCTGCAAATTCCAACTATTTCGACTCAAGTTGTTTGTTTTTTTTCAGTTTCCAACGGAAATTTCATGCCGTGGTATAGTCAGTGCACCGGTTTCATTTACAACAGGCCTCTTGTGTGTTCGTGGGACGCGTTGCTGTTCCGAAGTCTCCACATATTTAACTCATCCTCTAACACTCGTTCGCAGCCGAGGGCGAATGAAACACCCACTTCGACATACGAGTGCAAACCCGTCACATCGATTCTCATCCGCAGTCCGACATCACACCACACCACCCACGCCGACGCCATCTCCACGCACCTCGTTGTGCCCGCACGGCTTTCCCCACTTCCCGCCCCACTTTTCCGGGTCCGGCGTGTCAGGATTCGGTTTCCACCTGGCCAACGCCACCGTCGCCACCCCCCGTCCCGCCACGTCTTCTCCATCGGCACCTCGCATCCCCGTCTCCCCCTTCTTGGCGTCCTCAACGCGTGCGCGCAGCTCCAGAGAAGCGGTGTCGCAGCTGGCTCCCGTCCTGACGATGCCGCCCCAGCTCCCGCCGAAGAGCTTCCCGGTGGCCCCGTCGAGCCAGCGGGTCTGTGCGGCAGCTCTGTCCTCGGCTGCCCCCGCCCTTCTTCCTCCGGCAGCAGCAGCTAACGGCCCGCTGTCGGCTGCTTGGTGCTGAGGCGGCCCGTGGATCATGCCCAAGATGACCATCTTCTTGCGGAGCTCCTTAGCGGATTGGTGTGCGTTCTTCGGCGCGGGGGGAAAGGCGGCTGCGGAGCCGCTCCCCCCCAGCGCCGCCAAAGGCGGGGGCAGGGGCGGCAGCAGCGGCTGGCAGAGTAACACGCTAACCTTCTGTCGGAGGGCGACCGCCTGCTGCGCGTGGGCACGCTTTTTCTCGCGCTTGGTGGCCTCTGCCCCGCGCTCGTTGCTGCTGCTATATAATAGTGATCAAGACAGAAAACGGACACGAAGGGTTGAAGGGCGATGAAACATTGGTGATTCAGGCGCGGCGAAATTTCTACCGTTGGTAAAGTGAACTGAGAAGTGGTGTCAAGCCTACCGCGACAGTTCTTTAGCGAAACACTGACTTGAGGAGGCGACGTCAAACCAGGCGCGAACGTCTTCCTCAAGTTTACACTGGGCGGAGGAAGTGGCATCGGACCAGACGCGAATTTCTTCCTCCACAATGAAGTACACTGAAGGGTTATCACATAAATTAGACGGGGGGAGTGATATCATGAATATCTGGTTCGGCAAAGACTTCCGAACAAGCCAAGAGTATGGTCGACGGCCGGGGTATGAAGACATGGCCATGTTTTCCCGCTGACTGCGAGCTCGCTTTGAAGGCCGGTGACAAATCACTATCAATGGATGTGTCGTAGAAGATCTACAACAACGGGCGGAATGCGAGTGTGCTGTTCGGCTTATATCAAGGGTAACGGGAGGAGCACGGCCACCTCCAGGAGAAATAAGAAATTATCTCCTTAGATTCAGCAGTGTAACAGTATGTTTCCACCAATTATTATCACCTTTGCTCATCCCACTCCAGACCCGCAGCGGCAGCGGCTCGCTGCATGCCCCTCTCCTCCCCCTCGCCGGCACTCAAAGCTATCGCCCTCGACAGCTTCTTGGCAACGGCGAGCCTGATGCACGCACGCCACAATAAAATAATGACACCAGATGGAGAATGATACCTTCATTTCCTTTCAAGGATAGTTCAAGTCTTCGTGCCCAGGTTGTACCCGCGGATAGGTTTTTGGTGATGAGCCAACGTGAACAACAACGTAAGCGTGCAGCCAGGGACCTTGCCAGCAGTACGAAAACGTACGATTCCCTACCACGTTTAAGAAGCAAGACCTAGGGCCAATGGGAGTAGACGTTTACCAGACAAACACCCAATCCGTTCGGCACACAACAGCTTGGCGTGAGGACAGAAAAGCCCTTTTCACACCTCGAGCGGATGCCCCCCATCGCCCCGCTGTCGAACGAAAACGGGGCCAAGCCCACCGCCTCCGCTCCTCCCCGCAGGTACACCTCCTCCGCCGCCCCCGCACCCCGCCCTCGAAAGAAGCCTCCGGCGACCCGAGCCCTCGCCGCCGCGTCCTTTTTGCCCTCTGGAGCGTCGAAATGAACGACCCTCTGGAGTTTCCCGTGGCCTGGCTTGACCGATCCGATGGAGGGCGGCGTGCGGGATATCGCCAAGTTGGTCAAGACCAGGACAGAACTTCTCTCCGAGGAGGTCGCCGCCAGGAAACGCTTCACATGTTCCTGGGTCTTTTATTTGTATGACCGATCAACGAGAGGGGGGGGGCGTGAGGAGGGGCAATGGCACAAACTGACACGATACCGGAGACGGTGGGCGAGCACCAATACAGTTTAAGCAGGCTGCGAGGGTTGCTGCGATAAACGGCTGCACCGAGTGCCGGCGCATTTTGACATTGCGCCATCGCGCCCTCCACAGCTATCCTTGCTTTGATTCCTAACCGGGTGAGTTGCAAGGTTTGACTGACCCAGGGGGCTCGTGCGTGTGTACTTGTCTCTTCTGATCTTGCTACAGACTGCTGTTACGTGAGCTCACGACTGCGGTACAACAACATCAGTACAGCATTTCCAGAGCTGGGGTGAACACGCTACAGCTACATAATACAACCAGCACAACACACAGCTGTCGCCTGTCTACCTGTGCTTTCGGCGTGCGGTCGTGAACAGCAAAGGCCACGAGGCTTAGCGCCTTCAGCTCCCCGACTAGCTCCTGGGCAACAGCGGTCGTCTCCACAAAAACCAGCGCATGGCACCCCCCTTCTACGGCGGTAGGAGCATCCGGAATACCCCCGCCCTCGCCGGGCTGGTGCTGCTGCTGCCCTCTTGTTGCACACATGTCTGATGTCCGTGTCGTCAAGAGATAGTACAGCTGCTGCTCGCGGGAGTGGTGCTTGGATGAAAAAATGTACTCAGCGACCCCGCCAGTGCTGGCGACAGCAGACGCAGAGGGGGGAGCATCGAAGTCGTCGCTGTCATCACCGTCGCCGGGGGCACTCAAGTCTGCTAGCCCTAGCCCCCTCTTCTTCTTGTCCTTCTTGCCCTTCTTGCCCTTCTTGGCTTGAGGATGTTGTTGCGGCGTGGAATTGGAGTGGAGATTCCGCTGCGATACCACGACCAACCCGCCACCTTTCCTGGAGGGCTTGGGTGTTCGGCACTGCTTCTTGCTGGACTTGGCCATGGTATTTGTGTGTATTGGCGTAGTGGCTCAGCCGAACCTGCCGCTCGCCACGAGAGCAAAACTTGACAGTCCCGGGCGAAAAAACGAAAAAACGAAAAGCCGATGTGCATTTTTCTCCTTGCTGCTAGTTTTTGCCCCCCCTCCCTTCCCGCCCCCTCGAACCCTCAAAGCTCTCCTGCAACACACACGTTAGTTCTTTACACACGATTGTCAATGTTGATCGTAACAGAACAATGCACCGGAGCAGGCCGGCGCGAAGCGCCAAAAGCCTTGGAATACATCTCGAAGAAGCCTCTGTTACTGCTGCTGTAGTGAAGACCCAATTCGCCGTGCAAATTCTGAACAATGGGAGTGTTGGGGTGTTGGGGTGGGGGTGGGGGGCGAAAGCGGGACATTGTTTTGTTTCCGTGCCCGCTGTGTTTTCATGGTGTTACACGTTGTTTGGGGCCGGGTTGGGGACGTGTGAGAATTCGTTTGTTCGCATGCTGTTCAAGGGCGTTCCTTTCCTTGGGTGCCTACAGGCATTTCCCGCGAGGTGGGGGTGCGGGCTCATCATCAGTGTGTGACGAGAACTTACGGATGGTACTACCACACACTCCACACTGCTGTTCTGCTTCTGACTCTGTCTCACGTGCTCCTCTTCCCAGAGACAAACAACGTTGAACTTGTTTCACTGCAATACTATGTACATGGTGCCTCTCTTGCGGGGGGTGAGCTCAGTCAACGGGAAACGGAAACACCGGACCGATGTATCGCACGTCTGGCTGTGTGAAAGGACTCTCTGTTGGCAGTTCCCAAACAAGCACCCCTCCCCCACGTGCTCGAGATGCAGATAGGTACCGTGAGAGTGCGGACCCCAACACAGTTGTGCGATCGACGATTGATTGCTCCGCGAACAAGAGAGGGTACTATCGAAACCCGACCGGCACGTGCGCGGACAGCTCTCCTCTACGAGATCTTTCCAAAACCACTTTCATTCTTCCGCATTGATTGGCAGAGGCCTCTGGTTGTTTTGAACAATCGAGCTTGAACATGCAGCTTAAAAAGATCACACACCTGTAGTAGGGTGCCTACAACCTGGGGAACAACAAACCGACCACAGCCATTTCGTGGGGATCGTTCGGTTCCCTGATATCATTGTCATACGGTTATCGTCTGCTCCTTCCACGGAGACGAGACTGAACACGCGGTAATCCGTTCATCGGGAGTCTCAACAAGCCACAAGACCGACGGAGCTCAGTAAACCGGCGTGAGAGACGTCATGAACTAAATCCGCCAACGCCATATTGGCGCTTCGCGTGTGTACCTGAAAAGGCCTACAGCAGTAGAGTGTGCTTCGTTTGCAACCTACTACTCTGTGCCATCCTCTACGCAAAGAACAGACAGTCGCCGTTGACGAACAAACCGTAGTGAACTTTCGCAGGCAACCTGGTGGCCCACCTTGAGGGTGGTGTTGATACGCCGACATTTCTCTCAAAACAAATGAGATCTAAGGCTCCGCTTCCCATTCCTGGGAATGCAGTGCGTGGGAAAGATGGAAAGGAGGTCGCGAGGTCTCATTAAAGTCTACGCGCACTCTGCACACACTCGAGCAACCGTCATCGATATTTTTCGTATCCTCTTCCCGGTCCCCGCCCCCGCCCACCCCGGCCGCGACTCGGATCCCCCCGCCCACGGCCGCCGCCATCCCTCCCTCCTCTCCCTCCGTCCCTTCCCCTCCCACGGCCCGCCGCCCACCCGCGTGCATCGCTCCCTCGCCAGCGACCGCCCCCGTTTTCTCGACCAGAATATCCGTTCGCCGATCTCTCTGATCCTGGTCCTCCCCAGCCACCGGGAACCCACTTTCCTTGGCGCGACATGGTCGACTGGAGCTTTTCCAAGTGAGCTTTCCCTGCCAGGTGTTCCTGTCAACAATTCAACAATTGCAAGGTTGTTGAGGTTGGCATGCATCGGAGGGTGTTTGCAGGGTTAACGTTGGCGACACACGTAGGACACACGGGGGCCTAGGTAGACGGACAATTGTTGCCAACGGAAAGAAGGTTCACGCTGCACGCCGCGTGTTGAGTGCCGAAGTGCAGCACAAATAGAAAATATATTGTAGCCCACGCACCGTTCAGAAAGACCGACGTGGGATGAAAACGACTTGCGGCTTCGTAACAGCAGCGTATTGTAGCAGGATCAACCAAAACAGACTACCAGAAGAAACAAGGAGAGGATAGGTGCGGCGCTGGTGCGAACAACAGCACCGACGCCAATACGATGGGCTGGTTGTACTTGTCCGTAGTCCACGCACCGTCAGCAAAGAACACAGCACAGCGCGCGCCGACAGCTTTAACACTTTCACCCCGCAAGCGACTAAATCGAACATCTCAGAACGCGTCCCACTTGTGAGAGCACAACCGTTCCGTGCAGGACAGCGCACCCCCAACAGCACCCTTCAAATATTCAAATATTCTACGAAACACTAAGATAAGCCAGCAAACAGGGGCAAGGCAGCAAAACGGTAGGGTTACGACGAACAACGCCGGGGCGAACACGACCAGCACCTGCAGCTGGGGTGGGCTGGTGAACTGCTTCTTGCAGAGCAAGCACTTGCAAATCTTCCGCTCCTTCTTAGCGGCCTCCACGTGCAGCGGTTCTTCCTTGTGCTTCTCAAGCGCCTCCAAGCTGATCCGTTCATCCAGCCAGAATATACAGCGTGTGGAGATACGAGACATGCGCAACAAGGTTGAGGAGCGTCGGTTAGAAGGACAACAAGACGGGTTGACCGGCAACCGGACAGGTAGGACAGTAACACGGATCCAATGCTATCCATAGCTGCCACTGTAAATAGCACAGAGGTATCACGCCAGCGGTGGTGAGGTTGTTGTATAGTGCATTGTCGTTTCCAGTGCAGCCATGCGACTATAACAATGCACGGCAGTGATGGGACGCTTCATGTGTTCAACCTGCACATGGAGCCGGGTTGCATGCAACACACTGGTGGAATGCTCTTCCCTGTCAAAACACTGCGCATAGCTTGCGAAAGCAAATGCCTCCAAAATACATGTTACCAAAGAGAAATGGAAGTCACCATCGTCGGCTAGAAGGAAGAACCTACAGGGCTCGTGTCCTTTGTTTGGAGATACACGGAGTACGGTCTACGGTCGCTCATGGGTTGGGTTGGATTCGCCAGCAAGCATCACAGGTAGGCTTGGACCAGGTTGCGAGTATTGTAAGGTGGAGAAGTTGTCGCTGGGAAGGCACTATTAATATTACTATTCGCCAGGTGGAGACTTGTACAACAAGGACCATTTCTCGGAGAAGATAGAGGAGACGAAACCCATCGAATCTGTATACGCCGAGCACGGCCAGGTCTTGCTTGTGGATGCATGTATAACGAGACAAAAACCAGCCGATGATCCAAAACTCCAATTGTAATTTAAATTCATAGCTTGCATGTACCGAGCTCATCGGTGGTGGCGCGCTCATGGGGTACTTCCTGCCTGTACGCTCTCGAGGGTTAGCAACCAACTGAATTACAATGGCCGACACATCACCGCATGATTTCAGGATGAAGCTGAGGGCTGAGTGCAGTGAAACCAGCCACACACCTATCTCCCTGGAACTTGCACACTCTGCAGTAGAACGGGACCCGCTCGGAAGATCGGGCCTCGTAGTTTGCCAGAAGCTCCTTCACGGCGCTATCAAGCCCTTGCGACGGTCCTGGTAGCGCCGTAGTACCAACAGCAGCACTAGGCTTCTTCTTCTTCTTCTTCTTGTCCTTGTGCACGCCGCACCCCGGGCGCGGCAAGAGATGCGCGGGCAGGGGCTCGATCTTCTCGACTTCGAGAGGAGATACGAGCTTTGCTACTCGCCCGCGCTCTCGGCCGGCTCCTCTGTCCTCCTTGCTGCCGGCGCTATCATCGTCGCTGCTAGAGCTCTCCGCGTCGCTACTGCTATCGTTGGCGCCTTTGAGCTCGCGCTCAAGCGCCGCGATTTGGTCGTCCACGGCGACATCTTTGGCAGAAGTGCCGTTCTCGCTTCTACCCCCCCCTTCTCCTTCCTCCTCCTCCTCCTCCTCTTCCTCGCTCGAGTGTTGTCTGCTGCCGCCGCCGTCCACCCTTGGTCGCTTTCTCTTGGACTGGCTTGCGGTGCTCGGCGTCGCGTCTACACCACGGCCTGCAGGCCGAGGGCGTTTCGCCAGCCCCGCCCGCTTGAGCAGCTGCGACATTGTAGGAGGTCCGGACATCTTGCTATCCAGCGTGGGGCTGGCCCCGCTCAAGAGTGGCAGGCCTGCTGCTGTCCAAGTATGGGGCAGCAGGCAGCAACCCCACCTGGAACCTTGGTTCTTGGCTGCTTGGTTCACGAGTTCACATGTGGTTTTCGGTTGGGGGGACGACAGAATGAAAAGTACGGTGGGGGGGTGCGAAGTTAGCCCCTCGGAGGTTGACCCGCACAACCGCACGCACGCACGCAGCCCCACACATCACAGCGAACCCGTCGCTGTCGTGTTGCAACACGCACAGAGAGATGACCGCTCCAGTACCTCCACCCGGTGAAGCTAGTGTCACTGGCGAACCAACACGCCGAGTAACGATCGGTATTCTGGCGCTGCAGGTGAGAACAAAGAAGCTCTGCAGCGGTACTACTGGCTGTTTGAATCTCGATCGAAGCCCGAACCTGACTCGACGAACAAGAGAAACATGAGCGGGAACGGTTCGATTGGAGACCTGAGTTTGTGTAGACGTACAGACTGCCCATCCTTCCACGATCAGCTGTTGTGCGCGACGAAGCCTCCATACTTCTGTCTGTGTCTAGTCCCGGTGTTGGCCTAGCATAGGCACGGATACCTCATTTCGCTCTACTGCTGTGTCTCTATGTATTTCATCTCCTGTAACAGGGTGCGTTTGCCGAGCACTCTTCGTTGCTGTCCAAGCTCGGTGCTGACGTTCGAGAGGTGCGGCTGCCGCATGAGTTCGAGGGACTGGATGGGATCGTCCTTCCAGGTAACTACCTCTAGAGCTGCGAGGGTTTCCCTCTCGTTGGCCTTGCAGTACCCTGCAGGCCGCGTGGACAGATGAATGTTTCGAAGCGCCGGGAAGTGTGACCTCGGGTGGTTGGTTGTGTCGGAGAGTTGAGGACAGCAGTATGTGGGGCAAGTGTTCAAACTCCAGCTTTGTCGTAGCATGTCCTGAGTAATAAGCTGTGCTGGAGTACATGCAAAAAGTACAGCAGTAGTGACACGCGGTGTTCGAGATAGGCCCACTGGCTGCGGCTCTAGAGCACAACTCGCTGACGCGCGGAAATCAGACAGTCCACATGGTCGGGGAGGCGTGTGCGGATGCTGCAGTGGTCTTGTCAAGCTACCCTGGCACCTGCTGTGTCCAATATATGTTGCATGACTACCTTCTGGCGCTGGGCCCTCCAGTAGTCTCCAGGTATTGCCAGGTATTGTGTCTACAGCAGTAGTGGTATATGTACTGCCAAAACCAGGAAATTAAAAAATACCCAACACACCCCAATATATGTTTATGCATACAACAGCAAGAAACAAATAACACACACCCCACAAATTCTTATCTCCCCATCCAATCCGAATAGAAGCTTGTGACTTGTGACCGAAGGCTTTACCGTTTTCTGTAGTAAAGTCTCGGCCGGGTGCACTACTGTACCGCCACCCTCTTGCGACGTAGTTCTTGAGGCCATGGCTAGGGCCTGTGGAGTGGCGGTAGTAGGGGTACTTCGCGGGGGCTCCATCGCTAGGCAACCAAAGCTTATGCTGAGAGCGCTCCGACCATGTCCCGTGGCTGATTCATTCCTATGGTGTTGTGGATAGCAAACAGGCGCCCCCTCGTCATCGCTCTACATGTTCTTGCACCACCGAGACATCCCTCACCTCAGCCCCGTGGAAGCCTTTGCCCCGATTCTTGCCACTGCAGTATCATGACTCTCTCGCTGGCTCTCGTGACCAGATTGCAAGAGACCGCTACCCACCGGCGCCCAACAAGTTCTGCCAAGACTTACTTTTCCTCTTCATTGTTTTTGGCTAATAATATACATGTCAAACACATCGAGTAAAGGCGGCGAGAGCACCGCCATGGCACTTATCGGCGAGAGGTGGGGGGTGTTCCCGCGGCTGAAGCAGTGGGTGTCGGAGGGACGCCCGGTGTGGGGAACTTGCGCCGGCATGATTCTCCTGTCCGACCACGCCCTCATGCAGAAGAAGGGGGGGCAATCCCTCGTGGGGGGGCTCAATGTGGAGGTATGTCCCGAAGAATAGACACAACACGATTGATTGACTGATCCAAGATTTCTGTGAATCAATCTACATAGTTCAATGAATCCAGCTCTCATGCTGTCGAAAGCTCAGCAACGGGCAATCCCAGGTGATGCGATTGTTGACGAAGAGCTGCTGTCGTTGAAGATCGTTAATCAAGCGCAATATTTGTCCTGCTTCTCTAGCTCTTGGTTGCCTTTGTTAGCCTCTCATGTGACTCTTCGGGGGTTGAGCCATGACGGTTGCAACGGGGACGCCGATGATCGTTGACGCGTACCACACCTCGAGTTGAGGGGCCCTGCCCAATTGTTTTTCTCTCCACCAGTGTTAAAATGGTCGTTGCCCCCGTGCAGGTGTCTTGGATATATTGCTCTCACGTCGTTTCTCGATGACATTTTGCTGCTTGTGGTGTTTACTTTGAATGGGGCGATACTCGGCCATGTCATATTTTTGTTGTTGCAGAGTGAACGAAAAACACAGATCAAGAAACTTGGCTAATCATGGTACCAAATTTGGATCTCAGTACCCCCCCCCCCCCCCCGTCCCTTCGTCCCCGGTGTTTGCCATCGGGGTTGGGTTTTCGTCGCTTGGCAACGACGTTGTAAAACAAGCCCCCCCCTCGGTGTTTGCCATCGGGATTGGGTTTTCGTCGCTTGGCAACGACGTTGTAAAACAAGCCAACTCACTTCGTGAACTCGGCAACCAGGTTACAGTTTTTTTTTTTTACCTCTGTTTTGTTTTTTGGCGGTGACCATAATGGTGGTCGAGTAGATCAAGTTGTGCGGGGTCGAGAAGCCTCACTCCGCGCAAGGGGGATGATCGCACCACGTTGGGTTAAAATGGTAAAGCATCCTCGAGGCAGTTACACAGTGCTTACAACTGTCTCTGGTAGTGAAAGCACCAGAAAATAAATTAAGTCATACGCAGCTGTCATCCGTACGCAAGCAAGTAAGCACAAGATGCCGAACACCCTTAGCAGGATGCAGCTCACCCTTCATGCGACTCGCCAAATACCTCACGGCGCTTCGCGCTTGGTGATGTGAGAGCCTGGTCCGGTGAGAACCCGGCGTGCTCCGTCCCGGCTTTGTGGGGATGCGAGGTCAATGGTCTATCGACTACGGCATGCACGACTATGAGTACCCCCCCCCACGCCACGCCGCCCCTCTCCCTCCTTTCGTCCGCGCCAACACACGTCTCAACTTCTGTGGACTCCAGATTTGTAGAAACTACTTCGGCGCGCAGACGTCCAGCTTCGAGGTGCCACTCGACACGTCGGCGCTCGAAACCGGGTCCGTCGGTAAAAAGGATGGGGGTTCGGCAAACAAGAACCCGTACCCCGCCGTGTTCATTCGCGCGCCGGCGGTTCTAGAGGTAAAGCTGTGCATCTGTGTGTAGAGGGGTTGTTTGTGTTGTTGGAGGTGTATCTATGCGAGTGTGATTGGTGGAATTCCACTAGGTACCGCAGAGCGCACCAATCGCGGATATCTCTCACAACTATATTCAGGGACAAGCATTATCTCTCTCTCTCTCGTCCTCTGCAGAGAAGAAATTGCCATTCGGCATCATGGGTTTGCGATGTAATCGGCACGGTTTTTAATTGTGGAGACAGCAAGAGCAACAACAACCCCTCCGTTACATGCAAAATTGGAAACTTCGGAGATCGTCCACGTTGGGAGATGCACGCGTGTTGAACGAGAGAGGGAGCCAAGAAATGATTGCCTTCACCCCATACGACCACCCCACCCCGCCTCACCGACCTACACACAGGCCGGTCCCGGCGTCGATGTCCTCTGCAAGGTGCGATCCAGGCCGTGCAACAAAGCTGTCACCGTCATGAAGGCACAGCTAAAACAAGAAGAAGCAGACGACCGCGACGATGACACCCGCAGAGCGAAACGCAGAAGACTAGCCGCGTTTTTCGTCGAGCCTAATCCGTCGACGGCGGCTGTTGCGGGGGAGGGTGGTGGCGGGGGCAGCGGCGCCAGCAGCGGAGAGAAAGAAGCTCCCGAGGTGATCGTCGCTATCCGCAAGGGCAACATCGTGGGCACCGCGTTTCACCCCGAACTCACGAACGACTCCCGCTGGCACGAGTACTTCGTGAGGATAGTCAAGGAGGCGGTAAGCTCCGGCACCGGGGGGGTCCGCGATGCGGAATCTCCCGCGAAAACGCTTGGTGCCGCTGCCGCAGCTGAGGCCGAGGTTGCCGTGGCATAGACGCGGTGCGAGCTTCGACTCGAAGATTTTGGGCTGGTCAGGGATGTTCCACGAGCCCATCCCACTTTCCACACACCGCTGTCCGATGTTGATGTTTTTGGTATCCCCCATTTTTGAATCCTGGGAAAGGTCGTCACGGGGAGGTCGTTTTGGTTCCGTGGTGTGATTGTGTTGGCTACATCGCTGTTTTTGCCTATGCACTGACTTGTTGTCTTTTCCCCGGCGGCTGTCCTCCATCGGCGACCGAGCAGAATTTTTTGAGACGACGTTCGTTTCACGCATGTGTGGGTGTGCGTCATTCTTGGAGCGTTTTAGGTCTGAGTATGTATTGTAGGCGTTTTTGGAAAGAGGCACGACGGGGAGAGGCCCGTAGCTTAGCTTTGTGTCGGTAATGGTGTTGCGGGATTTCGCGTGGTGTCCGGTTTTTGTAGTGTTCACGCCGGGAACCAAATGCCGCAGCGCCGCTGTTGCTGCTGCTTGTACATACAAATGACTGCTGGCCGGTTTTTTGCACGCCGACCACGCCTCTTGATAATTGCAAAGACCGCGGAAGGAGTTTAGTGATGAGAGTTGACTTGTTCGAGGAAGTTGACTTAGGGCGGATGACGGGTACGATGGAATGGATCATAGTTAGATCGTGTGGTGAGGTCGATGGTTGGTGTGACGTCAACGCGTGATATATGGCGACCGGATAGGCGACGTGACAAGGGGTGGTTGTGATGTGTTTTCGGTGCTAACACGAAAACATTCATCTTAGTCTTCCACGATGACGTGCGAGGCGGCTTTGCTTTGGCGGAATGTCCGCTTTGTGGGGGGCTCCGTGAGCAGAAGCACGTGGCCCTCCGGGACTGTCAGGTCAAAACGTGTACGCTCTGTGTATACATGGTAACCCCCTCTCTTATACTCCGTGCAACATGTGTGTCGCACACGTAAGAGTGCTACTCCCGAGTGACAGATTCGCGGTTGCTGCCCGTAGACTGTGGAGCTTACATATCGTTTAATTGGTAGCCGGGTCGGAAGACCAGATGTTTGATACCCCTTCCGATAAAAAGGCGCCTGTTTGTACCGTTCGGGCGCTGCTCTTGCACCAGCACGCACAGGCGGAGAGCCCAACCTGCTACTACCGTATATCATCACCGATCGATTTGCTCGGTACACACATTCGTGTCTGTGTTTGATGGCAATGCGGGCACTTCGAGTCAACCTTACCTTTTGTGGCAGGTTAGAGGGTGGGCGACAAAAACCGCACTCGCTCGTGAATGAGTGGGATGGGTGAGACGGAGTCGGTGCATACCTGTGTCGTTCGAGTGTTTCTCGAACGCTGAACGCACGCCAGAGAAGGAAAGGAACATGGTAGAAACACGTGTGGAGCACGAGGAAGGCACAAGTTACAAAGGCATGTTGTTGGTGTTGTCTTGACCTCGACAAAATAAAAACGTCTTATCAATCAGACCAGTACGCCCCATGGCATGCGTATTCATTGTCATGATCGTTTTTCCTTTTCATATTAATCTCTAACAAGGTACGGTCGTCACAAGCTGACCCGAAAAACGTCAAGAGAAAACGAGAGAAAGAAATAGCAGTCCTGCCACAAGCAAGAATCAAACTCACTAACTGGAAAGCAAAAGAAAGCGCCCATTACATAGTACTTTTATGTACCGTATGGTGCGGGATACAAAAGCCCGTTGCCAGGGGCTGAAACCAACGAGTATCAGCATCAGCATTATTTTCCATCTTCGTCTGTTCGAGAGGTTGCGGTGCAGCACGTTGCGCCTATCCTCTATTTTCCAAGGGACAGGCGCACCTGCCCACGGCATCTAGATACGCTATTCTCTATCCGATGATTCAATACGCACCCAAACTCTCTTAAAATTACATCAACATCGTTAGGGTACTTGCAACTGACAATACGACAGGCGATACATTCGGGTGCCCCAGCATGTCGTCAAAACTGTATCGGTCTACCCTTGGGTTCCCGACTCCTTTATACAGCAGCAGAGTGAAATGAAGCACATGCCACGATAAACGACGTCTTAAAAGAGCCCCGCCCGGTCATTTTCTTCTTGTGGCGGGGACGGGTTTTTTCTTCGACTCTGATGACGACGACGACCTTGTCGCGCTTCTTGTCGGCTCTGATCCCGCGGGGCCCCCTCGCCCCGGGCGGTTCTTGTGGCCGAGGGCTCCCAAGACGGAGGTAGCCTTGAGGAGCATTTCTTCGTACTCGTCGTCGACCTCGGAGAGGGCTATCACGGCACCACCGGCACCCACCGTTACATTCCGCGGAGTCACCTGCGCGAGTATCGCGGCGACCGAGGATTGTTTTGGTAACCAAGTTTTGGAGGTAGGACAAGGACGTCCGATCGATTGTATTGGTCGCGGGCAGGACCACTTCTACAGATTAAAGACTGTTCGAAGTCTTCTTTCCTCAGGTACTTGATTGGTAAACACTTCGACCTTCGGGTCTGCGCGATGGGCTCTACTTCTACGTTTCTATGCTCTGTACCCCTTTTTTCGGTCGCGTTTTCTTGATTTATCGGGTTTGGAATTTCTATATCTTGGCGTTTTGCTCCATGTGTGAATCGTTTGGGATATTTCACCAGTGGCGGCGGAACTCTGGTTTTCACCGTTTGAAGTGGCACGGAAAAGTAATCATGGTCCGGAAGACAGTGGAAATTGTACGGAAGAGTGCAATGTAGTCACTATCAAGGCAAGAACGGCAAAGAACAACACGCCGAAGGCTACCACAAACCTACAGCGACTCAAAAGAGTTGCACACAAGCCATCACCCCACAGCAAGATACCCACCACAGCGGTTCGGATGACGATGTTGAAATCCGCCGCTCCGTCCACCCCGAGAAAGCCGATGCTGCCGGAGTAAACCCCCCTAGGCCTCCCCTGCTCCAAGCGATCGATGATCTCCATGGTGCGCCGCTTGGGTGCGCCGGTCATGGATCCCCCTGGAAACGCCGCGGCGATGGCGTCCAGGGCTCCGCAGTCGGGCCTCAGCCGTCCGCGGATGGTCGAAACCAGCTGGTGTCATTTACGTCAAAAAGTCCAAAGGGGTGTCGTGAGAAAGAGCAGAGGGGTTGTTGAGTCTTCTGAATGGAACTATTATTATAGTTGTTGTGAGCCGTAAGGCGAAGAGGTTGAGTCTTTTGAGAGGAGAGCTTTGCGCTTGACTCTTCATGACGACAGGTTATTCTCGTGCAAAGCCGCCCGTGCAGTGCGCACACACGAAGTAGATGCTGTCGCCGCGACAACAACTTCAGGTTTACCGATCCCGTGTCCAACGAGAAAAGGACGACACCGAGTGAGAAACAGGCGGTTGGCCACACAACGGATATTTCGACACTCAATGGATCTTTCGACACTTCGGGCGTAGCAACAAGAGGGGAGGGAACCGACCACTCACTTGGTGGACCGTTGCGTAGCTCTCGACGTGCATCAGCTTCGGCACGCTGACGGACCCGGTCTGGCACACTCTGCCTAGGTCGTTCCTCACGAGGTCCACGATCATCAGGTTCTCGGCCATGTTCTTCTCTCCCTTGGCGAGGTCGGTCGCCAGGATAAGGTCTTCGGCGGGGGTCTTCCCCCTGGTTGTTTCGTGCGTTTTCGTAGGTATGGAAGCCGCCGATGGAGATAGACGCGAACGAAAAAGTCATCGAGAGACATGCGGGACAAGCAATCACCCAAGAGAGACAAATCGCGAGCACAAGAAGCAAAGGAAGTGGAGGGATCAATAACAGTGAAGCGATAACAGTGAAGCGAGAGCGGGACATCGCTTACTTATGGGGGGAGAGAAAGGTGATGGAGGAGCTGGCCGGCGGGAAAGAAACCCCCAACCTTTCTCTCACCTCTTGACCGTCCCTTTGATGGGCTTGGACTCCACCCATCCGTCGCCGTCGACCTTCAGGAACTTCTCGGGCGAGGAGCAGCACACAGCAAACGCGGGCCCGTCACCGCCACCTCCGCCTCCCTCCGCTCCCCCTCCCGCCCCGGCGTCGCCACCAGCCGTAGAGGAGGACAGGCGCCGGTTCGGGTCATGCACGATGTACGCCGCGTACGGGGCGGGGTTGGAGCGCCGCAGCCGAGAGTACAGGTCCAGGGGGGGTGTGGCCAACGCCCCGGCTCCCTTCGGGCGCTCGCACACGATCTGATTGGTCAGGCAAACTTCGTACGTCTCGCCCTCCCCGACCAGGCGCATGATCTCCTCCAGGCTCTGCTCGTACCGTGAGCGGTGGACGTCCATGGCGCACGCCGTGCCGACATTGCCGGCGGCCCCGTTCAATGCCGCCGGGCTCGTCCCCGTTGCCGCATCGCCCTCGGACACACCCCGCGACGGCCTCAAGCCGCGGAGAGATGCCGCGGTGCGTCGAATCCAGTCCAGAGCATCATCCTTCGCCGGGTGGGTGGTCAGGGCCGACGCTTGTCCGTCGTTCCCGCGGCGGTCGTCGTTAACGGCGACGTCGATACCCCCGCCGTCGTCGTCATCGTTCGGCGATGTCTCGGCATGCGAGAGGGCAAGAACATACGCCTTCCCCTGTTCGTGGTCGAACGCCACGAACCTGTCGACGAAAACCAGAAAGCCAAGAGGAACGTCGCCGCCACCTTGCCGCAGATCGGCGGAACCATCCACCCCGGCATGGCCTTCTCCGCTGCCAACGGGCACCGCCGTTGACGCGCTTTCTCCCGGGCTAACGCGGTCGCTGTGGACCGCCGCCTTTCCCGCAAAGGCAGAGTCTTCCCACTTCCCACCGCCAGGTGGCTGCCAGTCCCATTCGGTTCCTCCCGCACTGCGCCTCATCACGTCCGTCGCCTCGTGGCGGAGCTCGTACCCTAGGAAGCCCACGAACCCACCCACGAAGTCGAAGGGAAGTGCCCCTCTTCCATCTCCGTCGTTTCTCGCCCGACCATCATCATCAGTATCATCTACCCCCAGGTTGCCTGAACAAGGTCCTCCTCCGTTTCCAACCATATGAATCTCGATGCCGCCGCTGGCACCTTCTCGGCTGTTTGCGTGTCCCATCTTGGCCACCTCCGCCTTGAGGTAGTCCATGATGTTGGCGCGCACCTCCCGTCTGTTTCCACCGTTCTCCGCACCAACAGCATCTTCGCCCCTCGCGCGCTGAATCACCAGCCGCCCCCCGCCGTAGCACTCGATGGTCTGCGAGAGGGGGCCGTCAGCGCCGCCCATGAACGTGAACCGGGCTTTCGCCTGCCCGTCGACGGCCAGGCCCGGTCGCTGGCTGCTGCTGTCCAGCCACCACGCCGTGCGGTCATCGCCGTACAGCACGCGGAACGCGTGCTCAGTGTCTGGCATGGTGGACCTCGATCTTCGCCTGCTGTCGCCTGGGCCGCGCCCCTCGTCGCCATTGTTCAGGGCAATCCCCGCCATGTCAACCTCTTCCACGAGCAAGACAAAGGGCTTTCGTCTTCTCGAAGCGGGACGAGAGCGGCGGTGATCTGGAAGAGGGACCGATGCTGCTGCCGTTGTGTCTGCGACTACCGGGATGGCAACATCTGCAGCTGTCTCCGCGCTGCTGCGCGGGAACAGAGCCGACGACGCCCTCGCTGCCGTCTCCCGCACCGCTCGTGGTTTGCCGTAACCGTTCCTGACCATGCCGCTAGGCAAACCTCTCTGTAGCCTCATGCTCGCTGTCGGTGAAGCAATACCTCCACCGATACCGACACCACCCCCGTTGGCCGCCGCCCCCCGCCCTCCATGCCACGCGACCGTCAGATCCCTGAAGTTTCGGACGATGTCCGACCCGTGCCTGGTCCCCACGCTCTCGGGGTGAAACTGCACCCCCCAGTGAGGCCGCTCCTCGTGCCTCATCGCCATCAACACCCCGTCTCCCGTCCACGCCGTCGCCCTCAGCGGCCCCTCCGCCGGAAGCGTGTCCCCGTCCACCACAAGGGAGTGGTACCTCACCACCCTCGACCCTTGCGGAACCCCCCGAAACAAGGCGTCCTGCCCGTCGTGAAAGACCGGCGACAGGCGTCCGTGCATAGGTTCCGGCGCCCTGGTTACGGTCGCGCCGTGCTCCAATCCTAGTCCCTCGTGCCCCAGGCATACCCCCAGGATGGGAATGTCAACGGCCTCGCTCAAGGCTTGCGCGCACATTCCGAAGTCTTTGGGCACGTCTGGTCTCCCTGGGCCGGGGGAGATGACGATGTTGTCCGGGACGCGACCCATGCGCTCGATGGTTTTCCTGCCCGCACAGACAACGCAAGTGGCACACCTCAGCATTTTAGAGGGAAGCCCCGTATAGTGCGGGCTGTGGTACAAGAAACAACGTGCGAGAAATAGAAGCGTGTATTTCTCACGATAACCCTGAGAAACTCTGGACAGTTTACCTCGAGAAACCCGGAGAAACCCAAAAGTGTACCTCTCGACTACATACTTAACAGCAGCTGCAGTGTCACTTGTGTTGTCGGAGACACATTTTGCAAAAATCAAGAGCACAGCGTGGCACCAAACACAAGCGCTTACTTACGAAAGCTTTGCTAGTAGCACTCAAATTCCATCACATATCCTTGGGGCGAATCTACAGCTGTATACTGTAACACTGAAACTTCTCCACGGGGTCCTATCCTAAATGCAAGTTGTTACGTAGCGGTGCGAAGACGAAAAAAGACGAAAAAGATACGCGCCGTTCGAATCCGACTCACCACAAATCTCCGTCGTCGTCGTCATTGAAAACGACAAAGGGCGCCCGCCCGTTGACGACCGCCAGCAGCTGAAACAGGTTGTACGTGTACGAGTCGTAGTTGTCGATCAGCAGAGTGTGGACGTCAGCACCCGGCGCAGCATCACCCCGATCAGTGCTCGTGGTATCCTCGCCAACGCCGTTGCTGGTGTTCGCGAAGCGTCCCAGCAAGCCTCTCTCACGCTCGTGGCACCTTTTCCTCGAGGCCAAACCCGAGACCCGCAGAAGACGCGAACTGCCAGCAGTGGTGATGTGCAACCTTCTCCTGCTGCAGCCATGCGTTCGGGCTGGGCTATTGACCAGCCCTTGCGACCCGTTGTTCAACAGCAGCAGCACTGCTAGAGCTCGGAGCAAAGCTGCTCTTGGATTCGGCTTCCTATCCCTCCTGCTGTAGGCATCGCCACCCGCAGCACCACCGCCATCACCGGTATTGTTCTCGGTAGAGCTGCTTCTCATGGGGGGTTCCTGCCGCGGTCCCTTGGACCTGGTCTACGGCGCGAGTCTTTGCGTCCTTCTCTCTCTCTCCATCTCTCAATGGGTTGCAGGCTGGACTGTTGTAACGGCGGTTTGTTGACCAATGAGGAGCGAGCCAGCACACGGCGCGCTCATTTCAAGATGCTATGCTACGTAGATGTCGGCGCCACGGCTGAGCTGGGGGGAGGGAGCACGATGATGACGACTATGAACAAGCGAACGAGATTAGGCGTGGCCTTATTTGCGGTGGTAAATGCTCCTTTCTCGGTGCAGCGTGTCGGTGCCTTTGCTGTGCGTTCTTGCGCAAGATGCAAGAGATCTCAACCTGCGATGACGGTGGACTCGCCCCCTCTCAGTAGAGCGCAGCTGTTGAGAGCATTTCCTGCACTAGTGGGCGTGGCGGCCTTTCATTCTGCAACAGCAGCGGAGCCTGCACGGGCTGCTCTGCCTACAACAGAAGACTACGCTTTTGGTACCGGCTCAAAGGTACGTCACACACGCGAATGGTCGCTGACTGGACGTTTTTTTTTTTTTCGGGATGAACCTTCAAAGAACCTTCCTAAACTACATGTAAACGCACAATACAATAAACTGCTGTATTTTGTACGTAACGACATGCTTCCCTCACTACAGCAATGCACTTATAATCCATATGGGCCATGCCGGCATGAATTGATTGCAACGGCTAGGTGTACAGAGCGCAGTAGACGGTCTTCGTGCTGGTGTCTCGCACAAACCTCTCCCTGTACACCGCTGATGATCCTAGCTACTGCGGGGGCGACACGTATGCATACGACAGCAGTACTGCTCTCAGACTCATCCCAGTTCCTGTGACACAACCATGATTTCATCAGACCTCTGCACGGACCTCCGCATCAACACAAGGACAGGAGTCGAAGGATGCCTGTCCGGACTGTTCCTTGTCTGAACGGAGAAAACGGGTGGCATCCTCGTCAGCAGTACAAAGCAGTCCCGCAAAGGTAGACAAAACACGCCAAGATGTACATGAGTGTATCTACAGTACCAACCTGTTGTCACCGGACGGCACCCTTGGTCTTCCCTATTAGGCAGGCTATGTAGCCAAAGTCAAGCACATATTTCCTAAAGATCGCTGTTGGCAGGCTAGCCAAGGCCAAGCACATTTCCAAATGATGACTGTTGGATTCGGAGTAATCTTCTTGTGGGAACGGGGCAACCTATGCGCATAGCGACGCCAGCCACCTGACTTCAAAAAAAAAAATGGCGGATTTCCTTGGGCAGTGCAGCGCTTGGCCATTACCGGTCTTCTCTACCTGCCTGCTTGGCATGCATGGTCGAAACTAACCCTAACACCATAAAGCGTTTGACTACAAGTGAAGACATGTTACACACGAGCACGGGGACGGGTCCAATACACCAACGCTGCGTTGACGCAACCCGTCCGCCCTCGTTCGTTCTGTTATTAACGTTGAACGCCCATGCTGTACACAAGGTCAAGAGGCCGGAGGTACAAGATGAGCTATCGGTAGGTACCACAGCACCGCCTGTTTTGAGGTTGACTACCGAAGGTTCGGGGTGCGGCACGGCCTGGAACTGGTTGAGCTATGTAGCCGGGGGGTGTTTTAGACTGAGCGTGGTTGCAAGCCATGTCGTGCGGTCCCACTGCACCTATTTTCGAAACTTGTTGTGACGTGAACGCTTCCTGGCTGTCCATGACAAGGCCTGGTTAAGTTGTTTTCCCTCTGTGCCCGCAGCAGTTGTAAGTACCACATGTGTTTATTGGATTGGCATTGGCAGCTAAGAACTGGCAGACCAATGAAGCTGTTTTTAGCCTTACTGAGACACGAAACGCATTGTATTGGTGTACAATCAAGTTCCGCCCCTTTTTGTGCCACAACGCCAGGCTCCGCTCCCGAAGTCATCTGTGAATCCTGACAACCCGGTGGAGGTGGTGAGAGCTGTGTCCGGGGAGCTGGATCGCATGCAGACGCTGGTTAAGAAGGAGGTTCGTTGATCGTGTCGAACCTTCATCACTTTTTTTTCAAGCGGTATGAGCAGGGAAGGCAGTTGACGCGGGCGTTGGCAGACAACGAAGTTGTTAAAACTGCAAAATCTGCAACAGCTGCAGCTGAAGCAGCTGGTCGCTGAACAGGCGAGTTTCCCCCAACGTAGAAAGGCGTTGAGAAACCAGGTTGGTCCGCTTCGCTCGTTTCCCACTCTCGAACCAAGGAAACGAGCCCCGTCGTTCGGTAGAGAGGACCGGCTTACTTCGCACGATGCAACACTCCGGGCCACAGGATGCAACGAAATACCAACTCGACCTCGTCCGGAACCTCGTGCGTTTTGCAACATGGCCGATGCTCTTGCCGCGGGAAACCCTTTCTCGCGGCGTGCGGCGCCTGGACCAACGATGTTGTTGCCTGGGAATCTCGTGTTGGGTGGGGCAGCGCTGGGGAGACGCGCTGACGCGGCTGAGGAGCTACCCGTTGACGGCCCTGAAGAGCCCAACCTTGGGCATGAAGTCGGTGGGAGACGTGTCCCGTGCACTCGGAGTTAGCAATTCCAAGGTAAGGTGTGTGCGTCGACCGTGTGCTGAATTCCCACCGCGTGCACCCACCTACCCTCGTATGCATACCTTCTCCGTCCTGGGAAAACTTGTCGTGCTGTTGCCCCGACGTGGCTTGTGATAGTTCACTGTCGCTGCAATGTTCATGCTTTTTTCGCGGTCAGGCTTCTGATATCCTTGAGGCTAGCATGGAAGCAGGGTTAACTCTCAGGGAGGTGGAAGACGTGGTGTTCAGCAACACCCGCACGCTTGAGTTCTTCAACAGTGCCGACTACAAGCAGGTGATAACTCCTTTCTGTGTTTCGTGGACGGCGGAAGAAGACGGATCAAGTTGGTGCGGAATATCGAGGTAGAAGGCAGAATTTAGAACCCTTTTTCACTTTCGGGCGCCACACCACAGAATCTACCTACGCACATCAGAACGTTTTTTGTGGTCGAGTCTCCCACGAATAGAAGAAAATAACACCAACAATAATGGACATCGTAGGGCAACAAGGCTGATCTTATTTGATCATCCCCAGTTGCTTTTTGGGACGAAGTGGAAGCCATGGACAAACCGCCCAATATGGTCTCTATGGATGGACATTCCATGTGTGGGTCGCTCGTTTGGAGGGCACCCCATTCTCCCGGTCGTGCAAGTCACGGGAGCATATGTATTGCGGTAGCTGCTGGAAGGGGTCTTGGACACGACTGTCGAGAACAAGACACTTCTTTCGTTTTCGTCTCATTGATTCTGAGCCCCAGTCTGCACCTTTTTTCTCGTCCCATCGATTCTGGGCGCCACTCTTTACCTTTTTTTGTCTTCCCATCGCTTGTGGGTATCACCCTATATCTTTTTTTATCGTCCCATCGATTCAGGACACCACTCATACCCTTCGGTGCATGTTGGACACACCAGTCGGGGTCACACAAGAGGACGGCGGCCTTTCTTTCCTCCTGCGGAGCTTGCGTACGGGTTCAGCAAATCCCTTCCCTCATTGCTAAGCGTCACGACTACTTAGGTTTTCGCACACGGTTGGGTCCCACAAATACGACACATCGTTTGCAGAAAAATGGACTCAGCTTCGTACAAAACAAACGGAAGAATGTGGATGAGAAACATGCCTTCAGCGAGCAGTGGATCCCACACCCACCAGACACCCTGCATAGCAGTAGCCCATGCTCAACTGTGGCAAAGACATATAAAACTGAACCTCGCCCCGAACTGGACGTTTCTTTATTGCCTGCCCCAACTACATTTGTGCCGTGACTTCAGATTGCCATGGCTTCAGATGGATTGTACACGATTGTCTGTACAGTTTCTTGCGTTGTTCCTCACGTGTTTTCCGATAGAACGGCAACGTGATGGCCAGTCAACTTGGGCATGTCTTGCTAACGAACAAATTTTCCGGCGGCTCGGAAAATAAAATTGGAACAAATGCAGGTTGAAGACTTGGCCAAGGATCGGACGCCCACAGACCTAACGGAGCCGTTACAGCTGCTTTCCGACACCAAGAAGTTGGTGGGAGGCGTGGCGGACTTGATGGGGGCTCCGCAATAAATGGGGGTGGTACCCTCTGTCTCTCTTTGTTGGTTCAGAAGTGTGCCAGTGGCCTCGCTCCACTGCACGGCAGAGGGACGGGAGCGTCCCTGGACTCTCGCTGTGTCCCGCGTCGTTGATTGAGTTATTCAGCTGGAAGAAAGCCTGAATCTGAGATGACGAGTATAACCTGCCGTTGACAAAGGGGGTTGTCTGGCGGCAATGACATATCACTCTGCACAAGACTGTGAAGAAGTCGGTAGCGACGCCGTACAGCTAGCACGATCCTGCAGTTTTGTGCCGCTAAGTTCACGACAACGCACAGAGATTCCCGTCGTTGCCCACCAGTTTTTTGGGGTCACACACGGCGGTACTGCTGTCCAAGCACAGGGGCTGTGGCATCGTTGCATGCCGTTTGACGTGATGTTGTGGCGGGGGTGTGCCCTACTTGGGTGGGAAGGTGTGGTCGACGTTTCCAAATTGTGCAGTGGCTCGCGGTGGCGTTGTGTCATGATGGGGAGGGCGTGGGTCGATTTGTGTTCGCTGCTCGCTGCTTTCGGTCGCGTGTTGTTGGTTTCGTCCCCGTCTATTCTGGGCGCCAATCTATGCTGTGAGCGCTGATTTGAAGTAAAGACAAAAAAAAACACACTTTCACAGTCAACACCAGGGGCTGTGAGAGAGACTCTGATCTGTCCAAGATGTTTATCTGTCGAACGCGTAGGTTTTCTGGTGTTCAGGCCGCATTTTTCACACGAACACACATGTTTACCCCAAAGAATGTGTTGGTAGAAGGGGGGACGATGCTGGTTCGCCACGAAATCATCCTCCGGCTTTTTGCAACTAAAGAGGGCCCATTTTTCGTCGGGATTTTATGGCTTTGTCTTGGCAGTAGTGGAAGGCCTGCCGCAGCCACCAGATGCACGAAGTTAAAGCGATGTCGGTTGCGCCATCGCGATGTCTTGTGTCAAGCCTCGGGTTTGGCGTGAGATCCGACCAAGGACGAAAGCACAAAAACAAGAAGGGAAACCATGCATCAACTTGCACGAGCAACAGGAGTATTTAGTGCACGTCAACAAACGTTGACGAGGACACTTCGATTGATTGAATTTGCGGGAATACAAGACGACCAGAGCAGCTCCGCATTGCGCTTCGAATGTGAAAGGAATCGCCACGCCAATCAAAAGTCGTTCGCGACAGGAGAAGCAAAGCAGCATGAGCCGCTGAATTTTGCCGGCGTCACTACAGTCGCATCGCATCCTTGGCAAGTCACACTCCGTCAGACATGTGACTGCGCTCGATCGTTCCTTTCTCGAATCCTCTTTTTGATTGATGCTCACAAATCGAAGCGCATTTCCTGTTTCACGGTATATGCAAACTAGCATACTTTTTATGCTCACAAATGGAAACGGGCTACATGCAAAAAAGAAAATTACTCTCTGACCTGATCGCTAATAGAGACGCACGACACGAAGACCAACGGTCAAACAATCCCTGGGACATCGATACGGCAAGTGCGTTTCCATACCACACCAGTCTACAACATATACTTTTACATACAACCCGACTACAATGAAAACAAAGCACTAAACAACTAGCAGGCGTCTGGTACACGTTTCCATGAGAGCGGACACTGCACTACCATTGTACATACATAACCTTAGCGCCAATAAACACAAACAGAGCTGCGCCGACCTGATCTCACTGATAGACAAAACAAGAGCTCCAGGTGGAACCTTCGATAAAATAACCTATCGACACACTTACGCACCCCGTTACCTGGGGCTTGAACAACCTGAGCCGCAAGGGCCCTCATCCACGCCACGGATCACCGATCGAAGAGAGACAACACTGATGTGAATCGAGCTCCACTTACAATGCTTGCCCCGACCGTCGCTTCTGAGATTTGCTCTGGCCTCCCGCATCCCAACTACGCGCTCGCCCTCTCTTCCGCGCCGAGCACCCCCCCCCCCCCTCCCCCTTCTCCGCCTGGACGCTGAATTCGGGCGCATCAGCGTTGTACTCGGTACTGTGTCGTTCGCGGGAAGCAGCCAAGCCGTCGGTATCACCACCGCCATCTGTACAGCTACTGCTGCTGCCCCCCCCGTCGCCAGTGCCGGTGGTCCTCGGGATGAGGGCAACGTGGAACGCGCTAGCCTCGCCGCCCTCGTCAAACACGAGCGATACCGTCAGAAGGGTCGGCCTGTTGCCGATGCCCGCGTTCGCCAGGAACGGCTGCGCGCCAATCTGCGGGGATGGGACCGGGCTCTCGGAAGGGCTCGAGGCTGCTGCTGCCAACAGCATACCGCTCATCGCGTCTTGCAGTGCCTGGCGTTGTATCAAAAAATGTGAGGGGAAAACGAGAGGGGGAACACACGGGTGCGTGTAACATTTCTCAAGTACCACGAGTACATCCACAATAACGCCAGTGCAGCGTAGGTTGCACTTGTCAAATCGACATGACACATGGACGACACAACAACGATCGGACCAAACCAGCCACCGCAGTAACGGCGGCGCAACTCCCTCCAGCGGTCATGTCACGCAAGCCAACATTCAGGACACGTCAACGGCCAAAGAGCATGTACGGATAGAGATGGATTAACGGCAAAAAACTATGATGTACGGATAGAGATGGATTCGCTGCGATTAAGCAAGAAAAAAGACACGAAGAGTGAATGCCGCACCTGAGCACTCTCGGGGGCTACGAGGGACCGGACGGTGAGCGTGCTGACGGTCTCCTGGTTGATCCGCCCGAAGCCTCGCATGGCGTCGTTCACGTCCACCAGCGCGCCGGCTTTGTCGGCGATGGCCATCGGCACGTTGCTCAGCCGGAAGATGTCGAAGTAGTTCACGACGCGCATCCTTGCGCCGGCGGTGCCCTCCTCGGACTCGTCGCTGCCGCCGTCCGCGCTCCCGGCGTCGCCGCCGCTCCCCAGGCTGCCCGTGTAACCGCTGAACGAGCTGTCCGTCGTGAAACCGCGGCTCGTTGTGTCGGTGGTGAAGTCCTGGCTCCCGGAGTCGGTGGTGCCCGCCGAGGTGGAGCCTCCGCCGCTGTCGCTCGAGCCCGCGTCCCCGTCGGAGCCCGTGCTGCTGCTGCCACCGACCCCGCCGACCCCGCCGCTACCGCCATCGCCCAGGCTGTTCTCGTCATCATCAGAGGAGGAAGACGAAGCGGAGTACAGCCTCTGCTTCTTGCTGCGGCGGCCGCCGCCGCCGCCGCTGCTGCTGGTGCTGGTGCTGCCTCGGCTAGCGCTGCTGTTGTTGCTGAATCTGGCGTCGCCGCCGCTGCCGCTGCCGCTGCAGAAGTCCTCCGCTGTGTCCATGCGATCTGTCTCTTCGGCAGGGCTAGCGCCACCTGTAGCTGGCTTGGTTGACCTTCCTTCTCGTGCTGGCCCGACGACCTCCGCGTTGCCCTTAGCCGCCCAGCTCTTGACGTCATTGTCTACGCTGGAACCGCTGGCCCTTGCCGTGTCGCTGTCCGCGGGCGCCTGCTGACGGTGCCCGCGAGCGGCTTGGCGGAGCTTGGTCTCCATCTCGTAGCACTGTATCTTGTCCCTCAGGCTCCGGAGGTAGCTCTCGCAGCTTACGAGGACGTGAAGCTTCGAGGAAGACCCGTCGCTGACGTTCGCCTTGTCCAGCGTCGCCTCGAGTTTTCGGGCGTGGATAGTGCAGGGCGGAAAGGGGGGCGAGGGGGAAGAGTGTCGTGTTACCGCGACGCCGGGGGCCCTTGTTACACAATAAATCGCCGCCTCGCGAAATAAATCGCCTTCTCTTCGCGCACAACGTGAACACAAACACCGGTAGCAGTTTATGTATATTTTAAATTTACAATTAATAAGTAAGCACCGGGAGGCGACCTCCGGGAAACTACGGGAAGAAAGTGTCAACCAGACATTAAAAAAAAGCGGCAACGGCGGTGTCGGGGGGGGGGGGGGGGACCTGCGTCCAGGCAGAACACAGAACCCGATGGCCTCTGACAATAAATCCACCACATCCCGTTCGACTGCTGTGGGCATATCTCGAACGGGTCTTTCAGTGTGTATATATATTTCCGAATAAATAAATAAACGAATCAATATCACCTTCAACTGGTCGATCACGTCGCTGATTTTCTGCGCGCGCTGCTGCTCGCGTCCGTTCTTCGCCGTCCTCGTGGACTTCTGCGCCATCGCCAGCATGCTGCTGGTGTTTCTGTCCGAGCCGGCTTGGTGTTGGGGCCGCTGCTGTAACACGTGTCCAGCAGCTACCGCCGTCTTTGCGGCTGCTGGGGCCACCACCGCCGCTGCTGCTGCCTGCTGGTTACCGGGTGCCTCTGCGACTCGACCCTTGCCGTTCTTTTTCGCCTTAGCTGCCCCCAATTGAGCCGTAGCCGCATCTAGTCTCGGCATCTTCTGGAGCGCCGACGAGATCTCGGCCGCGGTTGCTTCGCAGTCTAAAAAGTTCAGACAGCCGTGTGGTTCGGAGGCCCCTGCTGCTCCCCCGAACTCCATATCCTTTTTCTCGTTCTCTTCAGCCTGCTGTGAGTGTGAATCCTCGCACAGCAGTGTACTGCTGTAGTAGTGTTGCAATTTCTGTTGGAACCAACGGGGATAGCAGCAGGGGAGTATAACAGGCAGAGACAAAGGACGGTCAAAGGACGATCGGAATGAGGAATTTGAGGAGAGACAAAGCTGCTCGACAGCTGTGTTCCTGGTTTTACGCAGCAGGAGCGGGACGAGCAGCTGGCTTTTTCTCCCAAGTTCAACAGAAACAGCAGGCACACCTCGGCGCGAGACCTCGTTGTTGCGAATACAGCCACAGACGTAGAGCCAGTAGCAGGAAGCAAAGCACGTTCCAGCGGCAGGCATTTCTCTACCCCAATCGAGTTGCACAAGGAGAGAGGTGTGGTCCAAAATGACGGCGGGTGGATCACAAACCTTCGAACCGTGCTTGGATTGATAAAAAAAAGTGTCAGACACGGCGGTTAATTTACGGTTACCGTTGCCAAACGCACAATAGGGAGAGGCGTCTAACGACACACAGGTAGCTGATGGATCTATTTTGCTTTCCGCACGACGGCGAGAGAGCCACAGCAGGCTGTGCGACTTGACTTGCGGACAAGCTGATGGTGACAGCAACGACGTGGCCTCCGTCCGCACCCCCGGCGACTGCCGTCGTATTTTGTATTTTCCACTCTTTTTCCGTGTGTCACCAACCACGTCGGCCAACGCCGGGAAAAAGCAAAGAGAGGCACAACACAACAGCAGTCTCCAACAAGCTCGTTTACACCTCACTCACCGACACGCTCCCGCCAAGTGGCGATTCAGCCTGTCGCATCCGATGCACCCCCGTGGTGTCCGGTTGTAACTGCTCTGGTTCGCTATGTGAAGGTGAAGCAGTTGGACGTCAGCTGCCCCGCAACGACCACCTTCTTCTGTCTTTTGCCACGACTCGCTCTCTCTCTCTCTCTCGTATCTTGCCCAAGCCCGCGCTATCACGCCTGGCTGATGCGAACGTTAAGCGTAGACGCGGACGGCTACCGCGCGTGCTCTCTCTTGTTCTCGTGCGTGGATCGTGCCTGAGATGGCAGGTCCTTCCGTGCGGGTGGTGGTGACAATAGTGGCGGCCCCTTGCGGTGACCGTCTGAGACTGCAAACTACAAGCTGTTTTGGTAACACGTCATTGGGCTGTTCAATGACACCACGAACTGTTTCTTGGGAAACATATAATGTTAAGCAATAAAAAAAACACACACAGAAAGACTACCCATTCGAGATATACCCACAGTCGAACGTTGCGACGGACCCAAAAAAGAAGGCGAAGATTGTTGAAGAGAACCTTGTCATCGGGCTGTTCGAAGCCAGGCAGGCTAGTGGTTCGTTTTGGTTCAGTTGGCGTTTTGGTATCCTTCCGAGTCTGACGTCATGACACGAAGCCGGGCCTTTTTACTCTTACTTCCTTGGCAGCATGTTATTATAGAGAAATCAGAGAGACGAACACTCGCGGAGAGAAAAAGTTACTCTCTTTTCGACGAGGGAAGGACAGCTGCCTACATTGTAATCCTGCCCGCTGCTCGTGCTCTTCGTTCTATGCCTATCATACCCCCCAGTCCCACACATGAGAGATAGCCGCCACGTGCCTTGTTGAGCCCATTGCTTTCATTTCGGAAAAGTTAGTTAAGTTGTACAAGGAGGAGCAAAAACACAGCATCATCATCAGTATATATATATGCCAATACGGACCACTACTACTCGATCTATCTATGCATTCATACGGCTGCTTTCCTGGGGGCTCTCCTCGTGTCTAGACAACGGATTGCAATGATGAATGAGTTCATTTTGCATCAATCCTGGTGCTTGCTGCTGCTGCTGTACGTAGTAGACGACGCAAACAGAGTTTCTGTGTGCGTGCCCGTTTGATCCAATCTTGGCGCGCACACACGGGTGGCCAGAGGGCAGGTTGTGGGTGGGTTGTGAGCATCTACAAGGTAGGGGCAGCAGCAGGTTGTTGTAGTAGAGGGGGGTTGGGAGGAGGCCTCAACCTTGGCCAAACGGCTTGGTTGTGCAAGAAGGACGGATGCGGAAGGTTGGGAGCTATGAGCTATGGAAGATGACGATAAAGAGCGCTTTATTGTCATCTTCCATAATAATAATAATAGATACAGTAGGTTGGCACAGCCACAACGTTGTTAGGCCACACCTCTTGGTTGTGTGCAAGCACCGGTCACACAGGTTGGGAGGCAGCCACAACGTTAGGCCATACCCCTTAGTTGTGCAAGCACCGGTCACACAGGTTGGGGGGAAGCCACAACCGTAGGCCAGACCTCCTGGTTGTGAAAGCACCGGTGATGATGCAGGTTGGGAGGCACAGTCACAACCGGAGGCCAGACCTCCTGACTGTAGATTGTGTCGGTTCGACGGTCCGGGATAACTAACTGGACTTCATTCTTCATTCAGTCTCTCATTCTTTTTTTTTCCGGCTGGACAAAACGCAACAAATTCGTCTCCAACACAGATATTATAGATATTATTATTATGTAGATTTAAGAGCCCAGGATATGTTGGCACAATGCGTATACTAAATGAACGCATACATACACTAATCAATTTGGGCTTTTGTGTGAGTGTGTGCGGGGATTCACGAGTGCTATGTGTGTACCACCATATATATGTTCCAACTGCTGTGCCAGCCTCTCTTCGGTGTGCGTTATTAGTTAGCGTTTGACGATCATCATGAGAAAAAATTACTGTTTCATTTTCTCACGCGCATGGATGTATTTTGGCTAGGGTTAGGGACTCGACGAACCGCAGCAGCAGCAGTACAGCAGTACGGATGTGTTGCTTCCACGTCCCACAAGCCCCGCCTGCTCTGCGTGGCCCTAGTCAACATCCTTCCTTCGGTTGCAACTAAAAAGAAAAACGGCTCGATATGGGAGTCAGTTCCATGCCTCTCTCTTCACTCCCGTTTGCTCTGAAAAACACGCAATAATAGGTGGATAGCCCAACTCGAGAGTGATGGACGGCCTGCGCGAGATGGCGGGGGGGCAGGGCTGGCATGGTCTGGAGAGGACGGCATGAGCAATCCCGCGCCCGTGCCTCGCCTTCGCCCGTTTTCCGTCGGAGAGGTATGCATTTTGCACGGTAGGGTTTGCGTTGATAACATTGCTGAGGCGTGCGACGTCTTCGTGTATGCTGTTGGCTACACCAATCAATGTATGTAGTTTAGCCCCATGGTTTACAGCGTATGGTTAGTGTCAAAGTAGCGCTTGAACATATTCCGCCCTACTGCCTTTATACCCCATGAATGAATGCGGTCGCACAGGAAGCAGTAACCGGGGGGGAAGAAGAGACGAAGGAATCCGACAGTCCCCAGGAAGATGGAAACGACGGAGACTCGAGTAGAGGTGAGGCGAACACGATTTTGGAAAGGGTGCTGGCCTTGCCGATCTCATCGGCGGACGCGGCCGCCATTGACCGGAAGTTGTTCCCCGATAGTGTCGGCATAATAAATTCGTGCAGACCAAGAATGCCATGTCGTTGGGTAGGGCATTCCTTACTGTAATGGTATTTGACCCCTTCCTTCAGAATCAATCACCTTTGAGCTGTGCTGTGTGGAACTCTCTTGTCCGACCACAGTAGCAGGTTGTTGTTGCTTTCCTTTGTTCTCTTTCTCTTGGTTAACGCTTTCCAAGCCAACTCACAATATCCCGCGCACACACGATCGATCATAGATCGCCTGTACGCACACATTGAACAGAAGGGCACATGTCTCTCTCCGTGGTGTTCTTCAGCCTTAAGCTTCGGAAATTCCCACAAACAACGACCCCGGGCTGCTACCACCAATCATAACTTCTTTACATCGGCAACGATCCTCGGGCCTGCGCGGCTATCACCACCTCCGAATATTTATGAACGGGTGCTCCCGCTATCCTTCGAAACGCGTGTCTACGACCCCCCCCCCCTCTTGACCACTTACATTTTCACGCAGACATGGTGGATCAAGACGAAGAAGACGACGAGGAGATGGAGGAACTTATCCGGGCGGTCACCGGGGTCGAGGGGATAGACGACGAGGAGGAGGGCGGTGACAACGAAGGAGGAGAGCCTCGTGTTTCAGAAGACGACCAGAAGGTGAGGTAGTGTAGGACAGAGTCGTCTCGATGTCCACTGCATTAGCCTCGCCATTCCCTTTGGCGAACCTGCGTCGTCGTGTTCTCACTCCAATATATATTTATGTCTCCATTTCGGTTGTGTGTTTCTGCACGACAGACCTATGAAGCTCTGACCAAGGCCATCATCGATAGGCTTCCCAGGAGCGGGGTGGCGGAGTTGGTGGGGAAATCGGTCAGGGATGGCTGGTTGGGGCAAAAGGATCAAAGAAGTATCGTGAAAGTGCTCGAGGTGGAGGCTGTGCGTTCCGCGATTCGTCGATGGTGGGATTTCCTCGTTGCATTGCTGGTGGAAAATTCCAAGAAGCCGTTTTCGTCAGCTCTCGCGCTAGAGTACGAGAAGGCGCGGAGGACAAAGCGTTTTGATGCGCAACGTTAATTCAGCCACGAGCCGACTATCAGAGACGCGGCGATCAAGTCGGGTCTGGAAGAGCGGCGTGTCACCCATGCTCTCACTTCCGTCTTCTACGCCATCGACCAGGTCAGTCTGCCTATCATGCGTGCTTCGGACACAGGTGTCTAGTGATGGTGAAGACTGCGTGTGCGTGTGCGGGACTATTGGCATCAACCGATGGAAATATGTCAGTCTCAGTGCGGATTAAGACACAAATGCTTCTAAGGCCGTGATCTGGTATCCCGTGTGTAGGTGTGTGCGTTTGTGTGTATGTTGACCTTGGAGTGTAAGTCTGTAATCTTGTTAACCCTTACATCCCCCGTGATTAATATTTCAAACAGGATGTTGACAAGACCATCACGCAAAAATTGAGCGAAGCTCATCTCGTCAATGTGACGGATCCTGCCGGCGACATTGACCTGGACGTCCATCAACGGCGTCTTGTGTACAACATAGGGGGGTGGCTGTTAAGTAGCGCTCTTTCACGCGTTAAGAGGCAACCCCGTCTTGGCAGAGCGTTCATGCCCTTTGTCAACAGCCACAAGTTCAAATCCGCTAAGGATTTCCGGAGTGCCAATCCCAAGTTTCAAGGTTTGGAATTCGAGGTCGACCAGAGAAACGTTCAGTATGAAGGGAAGAGTCTCGTTTTTCCAACGGCGGAATTCTATCCTTTCGTGCGTGCGCTTGAGGTTGGGTACAGATCGGCGATGCTAAACACCGCCCTGTTGGCGACGTACCTCGGGGATTTACCAGCGGAAGTTAGGAGGGTGGTGTCCACGGCGGATCCCGTGAAGGCGGCATGGGCTACGTGTGTGGGTCTGGTGAAGGACCCAAACCTCGGCGCCGCTGGGGGGGAGGGTTGCATAAAGCAATGAGACGAGCTGTTCGATTTCATGATGACAAAGTGGCGTAATTGCCGCTTTTTTTTCCTTCACAAAAGGACTGACAAGCTTGAAGAAGACGTTGAAAAACAGGAAAGCACAGATGGCGCTGAGAGATCACTTGCAGGCGGGGTTGGCAAGGGTAAGGGCGGTGGTCGTGCGCCTGCACAAAGGGCGGCAAAATCCAAGGAGCCCAAGTTGCACACCACTGAACAGAGAAAGCGCCAGTTGCAGCTC